CTTTTGTTTAATTAGTTTCCTATCAGTTTGCATCCAAAAAAATGCACCCACATGCCCGTGTTTGTAGGCACAAAAACAAATGGACAATACACTAACAGGTGGGGCAATGTCATGTCATTGTATTGCAGCTACCCTGATCTCATCTTCAACAACATTTTTACCCCATAGTTACTTATACATCTAAACTAGTTTTGCCCCCATTTACATTATAACATCTAGTACTTGGTTCATGTAGTGGAGTTCTTGATAAATTTTAGTACATTATGAATGGATTACGAAGACCAAATTTCAAGAAGGGCCCTAGCTACTCAGCCTTTTTTCAATGGATGGTCATGTTTTGTTTGGTTTTTGGTCAGTCAAATCAAATCAAGACCTCTATTATGAAGTGTCGCCTCTTTTTGCAATAATATCGATCTCTTCTCTGCAGCAGTCACAGGATTGTATCTCTATGTTTAGACAACAGTATTTATAATCTCTGTGTGTCTTCCAGCAGTTAAAAGCTTGTCCGATTACAATTCAGAAAATGGTGCAAAAAAGGGGTTGCTTATAGTCCTGGGATATTGTATTGTAACTTGTAAGAGTCAATGCAATTGCATTCCGAGTAAAAGCTCAGGTACAATAAGTTCTTCGTAACTTATGGATCTGGACCATGACTGACCAAATCGGAAATTGGTATGAACCCGTTTCTAACTTTGGGTGTGATGACATACTTTTAGGTAATTTGACGGTTTGTTTAACACTCTTAGATATATTATTTAAGAGGTTATAAGTTTCTTTACGAATACTAATAAAGGATAGTCATTAGAAACTTATCTGATTGTTAATTTCAGGATCTCGAAAGATTAATTGAAGTATGCGTAAACTGGTCAGGATATCTTCGGATAAACAAAAAAAAAATAAAAAGCTTTGGGTGTGATGCATTTCCACGTTTATTACACATTATCTGTGTTGAACTAGTCTTTGAAAATTTAAGTTATAAAGTAAAGATTTAACAATACAATTAAGCTGTTAAACAAGTTTTACACATGCATTCTAGAATACCAGCATGATTCAAACTTGACTGAAGAGAAAGGGTAAATTTGATTGCATTTTCGTCGGCAAAAAAACCAATAATTTGCTTGTCAAGGACGGCATATGCTCAGAGTCAGTCACAGCCACAGGGGGACAAACGAAGCTTTAAGTTGAACTAAACAGTAGAATTTGATACCAGTAGCACATCAACTGTTCCCATTTCCTAAATCAAAAGTTTTAGCAACCCCACCATATGGTCCATATGCAGATTATTTATAATCCTCCTTTCATTATCAAATTTAGGCCTAGGAAAAGACTCTCCATTGAATTCTATCGTTTTCCTTTCCATCTTTATCAATTCAGAGTGCTCAAATTCAAAACTATGTATTTAAATTACAGGGGGGGTCCTGATCGACATCTGGTGTTTAATTTGGAAAATATACTTGAATAAGTAATACAGAATTAATGGAGAAAATTAATTCCCTAGCTGCCATAAAAAAGTGGGTAATACTTTTGAAAAGTCTTTGTTTTTGGAATCAAAACTCAAAAGGATGAATGAATTTAATATTTACGTGAAACATTTCACATGTTAATGTTAGGTTCATGATTCATAAACTTTAAAACAAAAATCATATACATGTGGATTACACTGCCGGCCATTTCCAATGTATAATTCAGAGAATTGGGTTGAGTTTATAAATCTTGATTAAATAAGGAAGAGAGAATTATTGGAAGTTGTAGAGGATGATGAAAGTAGTGGAGGGCAGCTAATCATAGCCTTGACAATGATAGTAATTAATTAATTAATTAAATANAGCAAATATATTTAATGCCAACAGCTGCATCCTGATGTCCGTAAAATATCCACGAAACCCGTACATAAGATTATGACAAGGAAGAATGGACCACCCGTACATAAGATTATGACAACGGGTTTTGATGGTCGAGTCACGATTTCACTAGTGTAACCGATTAGATCGATGATATCATCATTCATCATAATAATATCAACATATTTTTAAAAAAATTTTTTTTTTTTAGATTTTTATTTTTTAATAATACAATAACAACTTAATTATTATCCAACATGATTCAAAGTTCAAATTCAATAACAATTCTAACATAATTTAAGTATTTAACAACAATTCAAAGTCTAAATCCAAATATGATATTATATTTACATATTAAATGACAAAACAAAATACATAATAATTAATAACAAAACATTTGATGCAAATGTTTTTTCTTTGATCCATCTCCATATTGATTGAGCTTCACACACTAGCATTAAAATTCATCACCATGGTCATCATCATATTGTGTATGTTTAAGACCTTGAGATGTCCTACAAAATCTTGAATATTGTGTATGCAAAGGCTATTGTCTTTACCTTATAGCTTGCCAACATGAATGTCCTACAAAATCGCACATCACCTAAAGCCTATACACCCTGCAGTTAACACTAATATATACAGAAGCATAAGAACATTTTACTCCACAGGATCAATCCTAAATTTGTCAAAAACTATGCTACCTTTGATAAAGGTCAAATTAGAGTAACACAATTGAACTGACGAGTATGTTTTGAAGAAGACTATGTATATTGACACAACTATACACACATTACAACCTTTCAAATGATTGTCTACCATATTTCTAATTGTTGAATGCACAATTCATAAGGTAATAGTTAATTTTTAAAAGCACAGAGTCCAATAGACTATAGTTAGAAATGTAGCATTTTCGTTACAACAAAGCTACAGACACCGAAAAAGTTGCACCGAAATTCTGTACCGGCCTACGTGTAACGCGCCTCTGAATTTTTTTACAATTTTTTTCTAGTGAACGGTCGTTCACTCCATAAACGCCCGTCCATATACAAGGGATGGGCGTCCCCATTTAAAGGACGTCCGTCCCTAATTAAAATACAATAAAAAAAAATTTATAAACATTAGGGACGGCCGTTCATCCGTTATGGACGGTCGTCCCTTTATTTTGGACGGGCGTCCCTGATTAANTGATTAACTAGCAGCTGTTTACTTGATGCTTTCCTGACTTTATTGTACTGATGAAAAATTGAACACTATTTGGTTAAAAAAGAAAACCCAATTAAATTGATAAACTCATTTCCACAAGTAAACTCCCACTTGAAGATTCAATGGAGGGGGACTCATATATTAAACACACACACTAACACATTAAAAAAGGGTAATGTTAATTGCGTGTAATTAACTCTTAAGCCAATTCTCTCCCTCTCTCTGTCTCACTCAGTGTATATATCCAATTAATAGATGAGTATGCATCATTATCCACTTGGTATAAGAGAAAATGGTATTGTTATGCTTGAAAAAGTAGAGCTAACGTAGAGTCTTGTCAGCATGGGGTGATCAGAACTTAAGAAGGTTTCATGACCGTTAGATGTGGTCACATTGCATGATGACGTAATTGGTATGCTCCTGCCAGTGTAGTGGGTGAATGTCAGGTTGGCGAATGGTTGGAAATGGTCCACGTGTCCAATCCCTGCACAAGTCGAGGAAATTACTCGAGCAGGTAAGCAATGGGACGCAGAGAAGGATTTGCACGGCATTCACCCCGCTCGTAGATTTAGTAATCATTGCCTTGATTCATCCCACTATAAATAGATGACTTCTCTCTCATTTGTGGGATTGACTAATTTCACTATAGAATAGCATACTCTCTCTCTCTCTCTTGTATTCTCAAAGCTGTAATTCAGCTCGCTGAACGCGACCTGACCCTACTCTCATTAATACAATATCAGTAGACGTAAGATTGGTTTTTAAGCATCCGAACCACTTTAAACATTGTTCTGCACCTTTTACCAAATTAAATATTTTCATAATCACGTGTGACTTCTAAACCCGCTTAACATTTCTCATGTGCGAGTAGTTGGTGTCAAAATCAAGCATCAACAGGTATTAATTCATTTGATTAATTATACAGTAAATGCTTTTGTAACATTAGTCATCAAGAATTAAGTTAGTAAGAACAAGATCCCCATAGAGAAAAATAGGTTCTATAAACTTTTGAGTTTGAGTCCCTTCAGACACTAATAGGGGTAACCACTAGAGTTCTTACTCGGTCAGTAGTTTTAGGACCCTGAAAGATTAGTTGAAATGTGCGTCCCTTTAAACACTAATATGGGTGACCACTGAAGCTCTTACCTGATTGATAGTTCTAGGACCTTAAAGGATTAGTTGAGATTTGTGTCTTTCCAAACACTAATAGGGGTGACCACTGGAGCTCTTATCCGACCGACAGTCCTAGGCCCTGAAAGATTATTTGAGATGTGTGCAAACTGGTCCAAACACCCTTAGTGATAAATAAAAATAAAATAAAAAAGATCCCTATAGAGAATCTGATTAATTAATTGAGCTCTAAGCTATAAGTAAAACCTCACTTGATATTCATCAAATTAATTAAGCTAAACCCTAATCTCAAATAAATTGCCATATAATAATCAAAATGGCCTCAAGAGAAATTGGTATTATCAAGCGTGGTTAATCTGAAATTTTTACACAGCGGTTTAACCTTAACCGGCGACGGTGGTGATGGAAATTTCAGGCGCTATTAATTTAACATCAGATCCCAGAATCCATGCAGCATCCGATGCACGTGGTAATGACGCATTGATGTAGTAGTGAGTGAGTAGTCCTCCCCGGGTGGACTCACCGATGGAATGTAAGCGACACGCTCCTCAAAAGAGAGGTGAGAGTAAACTAAGAGACTCATGTATGAGTATGACAAATATAAATTAGAAAGAAAGGGGAGAGTGGAGGGGGCCGCCGAGGGTGAATTAGAAACATATCACGTCCTTTGGGGGCCACCTTGTGATTATTTTGAATTGTAAAAATACCGAATAAAAAAAAAAAAACTATTCTGGTGAAATTTCAAAGATCAAGTGAAGTTGAAGTACGTATATAGAGTTGAGAGCGTGAAGAGGAGTTTTGTTTTATCAATGTGTAAGGAGAGAGAGAGAGAGACAGTCTCAGTCTTTCATTCATTCATCTTAACATTTCTTTTTTACGTCCCATCAACTGAAAGACCAATCTCTCTTTCTCTCTCTCTCTTTCATTTTTTTTCTTTTCTCTTTCTTTCTCTTAAATTTTCTTCCCCCAAAACCCCTCCACTCCTCACGAATAAAGAAAACACAAACTACTCTTTCCCGTGAAAAGATCGATCATTTTAACATTCAAATTTTGCTTAACACAGCGCCGGATCGAATTCCATCTGAGACTTGACTCCCTTGATCAAACATACGGAGAGAGAAGAGATTGCATACTAGAGCAATTTATTCGAGAAGAAAGTTGAAAATAGGTCTATATAGCACTGCTTTCTCATGGATTCTGCTTCAGGAGGCGGTGCACCTGAGTCAAATACTGGTGCAGGTTCATCATCAGCTCCTCCTCCTGTTTCTGGTTCTGGTTCAGCTTCAGGTTCAGGTTCAGCTCCATCGCAACAACAACCGCCGGAATCCTCCTCTCCAGCTCCACCAAGTCGGTATGAATCTCAAAAACGGAGAGACTGGAACACGTTCTTGCAGTATCTTAAAAACCACAAGCCACCATTAACGCTTGCTCGCTGCAGTGGCGCACACGTTATAGAGTTCTTGAAATACCTAGACCAATTTGGGAAGACAAAGGTTCATATGTCGGGGTGTCCTTATTTTGGGCACCCAAATCCTCCGGCTCCATGCGCTTGCCCGTTAAAGCAAGCGTGGGGGAGTCTTGATGCGTTGATCGGACGGCTGAGAGCAGCTTATGAAGAGAACGGTGGACGGCCGGAGTCGAACCCTTTTGGGGCTAGGGCCGTGAGGATTTACTTGAGGGAGGTTAGGGAAGGACAGGCAAAAGCTAGAGGAATACCTTATGAGAAGAAGAAGCGAAAGAGGCCAGCTCCTGCAGTTACGGCTGCTGCTGTGTCGGTGGCTGCGGGTGCTGCTGCTACTGCTACTGCTACTGCTGGTGGTGGTGTTGGTGAAGGAGGTGGAGGTGGAGGTGAGGTTGCTCGGAATGCTGCTGCTCCGACTACAACAGTATAGTTTCACTTATTTTATTTTATTTTTCTTATTTTCTTATGATTATCTGTTGCTATTGGGACGATCGATATGAGCAATATATTTCTGGCGATCGATTCTCTTATAATTGGATCGAGAACACAAAATAGATAGGAATTCCAGTAAGAAATCTCTCTTTCTCATACTTATTTGCCGTCATCACTCTTCTCTTCTCTACTCATTTTATGATGAATTAATTATAAAAGAGGAACAAGGTTACTATTTTTGTTCTTCTTCTTCTTCTTCTTTACTTCATTTCATAATTAGTAATTCAGTGTGTGTGCATATATATATATATATATACATACATGCATGGTTCGAAACCCTTCTTCTTCCTCTCCTTCAGTTCCATAGATCATCATACTGTTATTTAGGAAAACAAAACTAGGTGTCATTATTAATTACTGTATAGATTTCATTTGTTTATTATTTTAACTTGGTAAACTCGATCCAAGAAAAAGTATGGATTTGGTGTTCTTGCCCAATATTTAGAGTCTAGAGATTAGTATTAACACAGTGCAAACAAAGATCAAATTGACCTTTTAATATAAAATAGTGTGGTTGAAAATCATATAGTTGATATAGTCGCCATTCTTTTTGCCTTTTTCTTGGTTTCTTTGTGGCAACTGTTGCGTAAGATTTGTTTGTAGCTCTAACAGTGAGCTAGGAGACCGCAGCAGGCCTTTTGTGTTTGCAAGAAGGGCAACAACACCCCAACACAGCAACACACTCAAGGTCAAGTGAGTCAATCAATAACTAGTACTGAATGAAACTCAACTAAATCAAAATCCTTTTTTATACTGTATCATCTTCTTAGTCAGTGTAACTGTGCATCTGGTCCCGGCTTCTTTCATTTCGCCTGGCCTGGGCTCCCCCCCAAGTCCAATATATAGAGTTAGTTCTGTAGTTATGCACACGTGCACCTCTGATTTTTACTCTTCTTGTTTCAGGTGCTATCCCCCCCTCCTTTATAACTTGATCGATCTAAGATTTTGTTTTCAGATTTTAAGATTTCTGGGGCTTTGGTTATTTGGAATCTGGATTGGGGTATCTTATTCTTACCCATTTCTCTCTCTCTCTCTCTCTCATGCTTCATAAAACAACATTTCTCTCTGATAATAACAACTAGAAAAAAATATAGGGGCTGTAAACATCAATTATTTTGAAAAAAGTAATCCTTTTGTGATTGCTTCTCTTATTGTATTTGTGTAATCACTACCTCAATATGACAAGGACCTGTAGCCAAACCTTGCTTCCCTTTCTTATTTTATAATATAGTTTTCGTATATAATATTTTTGTTATAATAACATAGACCCACACCGGTCACTCCCCAACAAAAACCCATTACTCAACTCCAATTCCACTGTACACCCCATGTCCAATAAAATCATATAACATTTATTGCTCTATTCAATAGTCATCTTTAATTGTATTTTGTATTGTTTCTTCTTTGTTTGGTTCTTCCCTTCTTCCCTTTCTTTTCTTTCATTTTTTTTTTTATTACATGATATTGTGCCTTTTGCACACAGGGATTTCTTCTTTTTGTTCTAGCTTTTTGTAGAATCACATCAATTTCATTTAGATTACTTTATTTTACACCTTTGTATTTTAATATTTTAACCATATCTATTCTTCAAAAGTCGAAAGAAAAGAGAGTATATCTTTTCATTTTTCTTAATTCAAAAGGTTCCTCTATGTTCTTCGTAGGGTAGACACCAGAAAAACCCTTATACTCAAATCTTTTAATGCTACGAGGGATCATATATGTAAACCAAGCGATATGCAAAGAGAAAAGAGTATTAAAATAGCAGAACAGGAACAAAAAGAGATCTATTAATCTCTTCTGTTTGATGTTCTTTTGTATCGAACATGTTATACAGTACGTTGGGGCTGCAAAATTCTGACGGAATTAAGTGCAGAAGAAGCAATGTCAAAAGACAACATTCTAAGAAAGAGAAAACCCTCATTTTAATAGCTAGCTGCACCTCAATTACCTGTTTCTTTTGTCGCGATATGAAGCCAATATTCATTATATAGCCAATGGAGTACATCATTTAAGAGAGAGAGAGAGAGTGGGTGGGTGCTCTTGGCGTGGAGGCTTTCTAAAGGGCACCTGCATCGAGTAGTCTTGTCTAATCTAACACCTTCCCATAGCTATATTATTATTGAGAGTAAACGACATGTTCCCACGCAAGGTTCAGTGAAATCCAACTTTGTACCCTTGGTTTCATAAATTTCATATTCCCACCCGTAAATGGACGCTGTTAGTGATGGATGAGTTTAGACAGAATAACAACATATGTTTTTACCAAACTGCCCTTGGACCCTCTTCTTCACTGTCGTTGGCCTTTTGTGTAATTTTGGTGGTTGTCTGTTTCTTGACTGGAGATTTGAGTGTTGGGGTTATGTTTCGAGGTTGATTGAGTGTTTTTTGGAGTGATGTTTGTCGATTTTATGGGTTTTGGACGAATTGGGAAGATTGATTTTTTTTAGCTGCTGGCACAGGCACACCACCCGTTTAACAAATTTCCCAAGAAAACTACCTTGCCATTTGCGTGCGCGCTTGTCCAGCGCCCAACGCCTGTCCCCATTGGGCGAACTTCCAGTTGGCTGCAGCCTTACCCCGGCATATCCATTCCTCCCTAGCTTTTAGCTGCCACTCCCTCTTGCCCACGAGTTTCAAGCTTTTCTGGTCAAATCCATCGTCGACAATTGCCCCCCGATTCCACCATTAGCCTCATTGGAGTCCCCCATCGAAAACCCCCAAACTCCTCCACCACAATTGCACGCCAACCGGCGCCGCCAACCCCTTAGGGTTTTGCACAATTATCGCGCTTCCCCAACAAAATTATGGTTCCTCCCTTCATCGAAAATTCCCCCCACCACCACCTTTTGGACCACTGACGTTCCCTCTCTAAAACCCCCAACATCCCAAGTCCCAATCAACCACCATTTGTCAGCCGCCTCTTTCCTTAGGTTTTCACGATTTTTGGATTTGATTGGTGTTTGTTTCAGAGATTTTTGAAAGGAAATTTAGATTAAAGGTTGCTTGGAAGTTGATTCTGATTGATGTGGAAGTGTTTGATGCCGGAGATGGCGTCAAGATCAGCAGCGGCGACGCCAACTGGGTGAGAGAATTTTTTTAGAAATGAAACAGTTAAATGACAATTTTAACCTTCAATGGATAAAAGAAATGAAACGTCATCCATTTAAGGGTGGAAATCTAGATATTATGAAACCAAGGGTACCACTCTTAAATTTCGCAAAACCTTGGGTAGGAACATGTCGTTTACTCTATTATTGACGAATGGTTACGTTTGAAAGGAATATTTACTTTTGTTTAATTAGTTTCCTCTCAGTTTGCATCCAAAAAAAAATGCACCCACATGCCCGTGTTTGTAGGCACAAAAACAAATGGACAATACACTAACACGTGGGGCAATGTCATTGTATTGCAGCTACCATGATCTCATCTTCAACAACGTTTTTACCCCCCATTTACATTATAACATCTAGTACTTGGTTCATGTAGTGGAGTTCTTGATAAATTTTAGTACATTATGAAAGGATTACGAAGACCAAATGTCAAGAAGGGCCCTAGCTACTCAGCCTTTTTTCAATGGATGGTCATGTTTTGTTTGGTTTTTGGTCAGTCAAATCAAATCAAGACCTCTATTATGAAGTGTCGCCTCTTTTTGCAATAATATCGATCTCTTCTCTGCAGCAGTCACAGGATTGTATCTCCATGTTTAGACAACAGTATTTATAATCTCTGTGTGTCTTCCAGCAGTTAAAAGCTTGTCCGATTACAATTCAGAAAATGGTGCAAAAAAGGGGTTGCTTATAGTCCTGGGATATTGTATTGTAACTTGTAAGAGTCAATGCAATTGCATTCCGAGTAAAAGCTCAGGTACAATAAGTTCTTCGTAACTTATGGGTCTGGACCATGACTGACCAAATCGGAAATTGGTATGAACCCGTTTCTAACTTTGGGTGTGATGACATACTTTTAGGTAATTTGACGGTTTGTTTAACACTCTTAGATATATTATTTAAGAGGTTATAAGTTTCTTTACGAATACTAATAAAGGATAGTCATTAGAAACTTATCTGATTGTTAATTTCAGGATCTCGAAAGATTAATTGAAGTATGCGTAAACTGGTCAGGATATCTTCGGATAAACAAAAAAAAAATAAAAAGCTTTGGGTGTGATGCATTTCCACGTTTATTACACATTATCTGTGTTGAACTAGTCTTTGAAAATTTAAGTTATAAAGTAAAGATTTAACAATACAATTAAGCTGTTAAACAAGTTTTACACATGCATTCTAGAATACCAGCATGATTCAAACTTGACTGAAGAGAAAGGGTAAATTTGATTGCATTTTCGTCGGCAAAAAAACCAATNATGTAATGAGTGTTTTGCAAGTTGCCTTGACACATGGAAGGCTCTCGTCCATTCATCTCTTGAAAGGAGATAAAGTTGGTGAGAATATCTTTGGAGATATGGGCTTGGCAGCTTGTATAAGAAGACAATAAATGAGCTGACATAGGCATAACAGAAGCCCCTCAGTTTTTGAATTGCGTAATCGCGCTTCAAAAACTAAGTCTTTGATCTGAATTGCTGCAGTCTCGAACTGAAGAGCTCGAACTGAAATCTATTAGGAAAACGATCTGAAATCTGTTAAGAAAACAACCAGAAATCTGTTAGGAGCTCGTCCTGAAATCTGTTAGGAAAACGACCAGAAATCTGTTAGGAGCTCATCCTGAAATCTGTTAAGAAAACGACCAGAAATCTGGTAGGAGCTTGCCTGAAATCTGTTAGGAAAACGACCAGAAATCTGTTAGGAGCTCGTCCTGAAATCTGTTAGGAAAATGACCAGAAATCTGTTAGGAAAACGACCAAAAATCTGGTAGGAACACGACTCGAAAGGTCATAACGAGCTCAACTTGGGAGCAAAATGACCTCGACCTGAGAGGTCAAAATGAGCTCAATGAGAAAAACGACCTCAATCTAAGAGGTCAAAACAAGCTCAATCAGCAAAACGACCTCAACTTGAGAGGTTAAAACGACCTCGACCTGAAAGGTCATAACGAGCTCGACTTGGAAAGGTCAAAACGACCTCAATCTAAGAGGTCAAGACGAGCTTAATGAGCAAAACGATCTCGACCTGAGAGATCAAAACGACCTCTACCTGAGAGGTCAAAACGAGCTCAATGAGCAAAACTGCCTCAATCTAAGAGGTCAAAACGACCTCGACCTGAGAGATCAAAACGACCTCGACCTGAGAGGTCAAAACGAGCTCAATGAGCAAAACGACCTCAATCTAAGAGGTCAAAACGACCTCAACCTGAGAGGTCAAAACGAACTCGATGATAAAAATGACCTCAATCTTAGAGGTCAAAACGAGCTCGACCTGAAAATGTCAAAACGAGCTCAACCTGAGAGATCATAACGAGCTCTACCTAAAAGGACAAGAGATCAGCGATCTCAGCGTGTGATCAGAGGTCTGAACACGCGATTTGAAGCTAAAGATCTGTAATCTGAAGCTGAGGATCAGGGCGACATGGGCGTGCGATCTGTGATCTGACCACGCGATCGGAGAACTCTGATGTGTGCGATCTGTGATCTGGCCATGCAATTAGAGAATTCTGATACGCAATCGAAGAATTCTAATGCGTGCGATCTACGATCTGGCCATGCGATCAGAGAACTTTGACGCGTGCGATCTGGCCATACGATTGGAGAATTCTAACATGTGCGATCTGCGATCTGGCCACACGATTGGAGAATTTTGTACCAAGTTTGAGATCTGAGCACACCATTAGGGAACTTGGATGCATGCTTGAGAATCGGACCTGTATGGGCCACCAAACTGTTGACGCTTGATTTTGGACGCCAACGACTCGCACGTGGGAAACGCTGAGCTGACTCAGGAGACACACGTGATGGATCCATGAGATTTGAATATGGAGCTGAGATTATATATGTTGCAGAAAAATAAATAAGAGATTGGGAAGATGGGTTTTTATAGTGGTTCGGATGCAACAAGCAACTCCTACATCCACTGTTATTTTATTGATCTCTGACTATTTCTATGATTTTGCCCGTAAGGCATACAAAGATGAAGAAATACAGTGTTTATAGAGAGAGAATGAAAATGAAGCTCAAATCTCAGCCTAGCCTCCCGCCTCCCTTCTTCGTGAAGAGAAAATGCCCATTTATTCACCCAAACACTCAATGTAATGAGTGTTTTGCAAGTTGCCTTGACACATGGAAGGCTCTCGTCCATTCATCTCTTGAAAGGAGATAAAGTTGGTGAGAATATCTTTGGAGATATGGGCTTGGCAGCTGGTACAAGAATACATTAAATGAGTTGACATAAGCGTGACTTTTTAGGCATAACAAGTGTGCTGAAGTGCTGAACTACTTTTAGATAGCTTGACTGTTTGTTTGATACTTTGGATATATTACTTAAGAGGTCATAAGTTTGAATCCTTACGATTAGAAGCTTATCTGACTATTAACTTCATGACTTTGAGAGATTAGTTAAGATACGTGTAAACTGGTCGGGATATTTTTGGATACCCCAAAAAAAAAAAAAAAAAAAACAGCTTTGGGTGTGATGCATTTCCACGTTTATTACACATTATCTGTGTTGAACTAGTCTTTGAAAATTTAAGTTATAAAGTAAAGATTTAACAATACAATTAAGCTGTTAAACAAGTTTTACACATGCATTCTAGAATACCAGCATGATTCAAACTTGACTGAAGAGAAAGGGTAAATTTGATTGCATTTTCGTCGGCAAAAAAACCAATAATTTGCTTGTCAAGGACGGCATATGCTCAGAGTCAGTCACAGCCACAGGGGGACAAACGAAGCTTTAAGTTGAACTAAACAGTAGAATTTGATACCAGTAGCACATCAACTGTTCCCATTTCCTAAATCAAAAGTTTTGGCAACCCCACCATATGGTCCATATGCAGATTATTTATAATCCTCCTTTCATTATCAAATTTAGGCCTAGGAAAAGACTCTCCATTGAATTCTATCGTTTTCCTTTCCATCTTTATCAATTCAGAGCGCTCAAATTCAAAACTATGTATTTAAATTACAGGGGGGGTCCTGATCGACATCTGGTGTTTAGTTTGGAAAATATACTTGAATAATTAATACAGAATTAATGGAGAAAATTAATTACTAGCTGCCATCAAAAAGTGGGTAATACTTTTGAAAAGTCTTTGTTTTTGGAATCAAAACTCAAAAGGATGAATGAATTTAATATTTACGTGAAACATTTCACATGTTAATGTTAGGTTCATGATTCATAAACTTTAAAACAAAAATCATATACATGTGGATTACACTGCCGGCCATTTCCAATGTATAATTCAGAGAATTGGGTTGAGTTTATAAATCTTGATTAAATAAGGAAGAGAGAATTATTGGAAGTTGTAGAGGATGATGAAAGTAGTGGAGGGCAGCTAATCATAGCCTTGACAATGATAGTAATTAATTAATTAATTAAATAAATTGATTAGCTGTTGACGACGTATTATTGTATTCTAGAAGAAGAATAAATTACACTACGTATGTACATACTAATTCTATTTATATTTCAAAGCTCGTTTTAATTATGCACAGTGCTAATCACCTCAAGTCAGCGTCGTTTTTCTCTGCAACCAAACAAACTAATGTCGTTCAGTTTACCCTCTTTCTGCACACTTAAAAAAAAAAAAAAAAAAAAATAAGACCTTCTTTATAAAGGGTCTGACGGCTGCTATACCATGTCGTAATTAATTTATGACTTTGGGGGTAAAAGTTTAAGATTCAAAAAATGAGGGATCAACATACAGAGAATGAATTTAAGAAGTTACGTTTAAAGGAAGTTACATTCTCACTGTGGCTGTGGGAATTAAGGGAGTTTCAAAAAATACAAAAACTGAATTGAACCGAAAAACCAATTAATTGAAAAAACAATTCGGTTATGTTTCAAAAAATTCAATTCGGTTATCAGTTTGGAAAAAAATAAAAATTGGTTAACCCGAACCTATTTTTTGAACCAATTATATATATATAATATAAATAATAATATATTAAATAAATAATAATATTTTTAATGTATTGTTAATAGTTGTAAATGGATATGTATGAATGTTTAATTTTTATTTGGATATATATTATTTATATTTATAATTTAATTTAGAAAAAATAAAAAAATAAGTTTTATAAAAAAAAAAGGGTTAAAAAACAGTTAACTTGTTAGGTTTTGGTTCGAAAAATTTTTTAAACCAGAAAACCTAACAGGTTAACCGCTTTTGAATACCTCTTGTGGGAATGAGACTGCATTTTTTCATAAGACGATAAGCTAATGAAGGCGACAGAAATTGAAAATATGAAATGATTTCAATCAAAAGAAATTTGGTGTATATTCCACTGGATTTTTCGTATAATACAAAAGTCCTGTCCTGTGAAATATAGATGAAAACACCATGCAAACGGCCATCCTTTCAAAAAATATATATATATATATATATATATATATATATGACAAAGTTGAAAGAAGAAGACGGTTGCTAAAACACTGTTGAAATTAGAACATCCGTATACGTGAAAAAATAAAAGAGAAGGGTGAATAAAGCGGTAAAGGCCAAAGGTGGGGGAGGAAAAATGGGATAGAAACGTGGTTTGACAAACTGTAGTTTTGGTCGCCGACAGGATTTTTGAAGCCCAGATTTTCTGACAGAACAGTGCGAGGTGGCGAGGGCTTACCCATGCTCTCTCTTTCAAACTTCATTACTTTCAAACGGCATTCAATTCTTTCATTTTTACATGGAAGAAAGCAATTTTAGCAGCCACCCCCAAGCCTGTATTTTAATCCCAACCAAACTGGGTACCGTATTGAATCCTTCCTCATATAGAGTTAAAAGATATGTAAAACAAAACTGATTGAATTTTCTGTTTCATATCTTATCTTTGTGTAACATCATATCATATAAATTATATAATTAGTGAGCTTAAATTTTAAATGTTGTCACTCTCAGAATAGGCATGGGTGACAAAATCAAATGGACCCCAAGCTTTTGATCCAGCCCATGTATAATTTTTTATATTAGACCAGAGTTCAAAGCCCAACCTGTAAAGTGATCTCAAATTCTAAAGGTTGCAAGGAATGAATGACAACCCTATACCAGAGATGAGAGGTAGTGTATCAGGTAGGACTCCAAGGTAAAAAATTCATGACACTGCCTCAGCTTTACAATTATGAGTAGTTCAAAGATGCTCGTCACCGGTATTACTTCAGAACCAGGCTTCAGGCAGGCAGCCGGCTTCGATACTATAAAGGGGAAACTTCTGCCACCCTTTGAATCATTCAAGATATATATCCAAGACATGTATACATTAACTAAGAAGTGAAACTTCAGTAATGATTCAAACTTTGTTCAAGTAACAACTTATAACTGAGGACATCTTTTTGGGGACTGCCATCATCAAAAAACAAGGAACTCATAATTACACAACACCAGTCATGAACAAAGTGATAAGAGTATAAATCTACAGAGACATCTACATTGAAACTGCCATGTTCATCTTACGCATCCATGATGTTATCGCTGATCTGATTTGTGTAGAGCATGTTGTTGTCTCCTTATTACAAACTGGACCTGTAGGCTCTGCCTTCTCCTTGTAGACTGTATTAAGGGTTATATTGCTGCAAGCCTTCGGTAGAGCAGTGCCATTATAAGCCTTGCAGATGTAGCTTATAAAGTTTTCGTAGTCCTGCAGCAAGAGAAATAATGTCATTTCTAGAAGACTCCTGTACTCCCTGGATTCTACCCATCAATCATTCGATCTTTCTAATGCTAAGATATCAAAGATTTTAAGGTAACTTTCGACAATTACAAACAGCAATAAAATTTTTATGATGTTCAAGAGAATTCATGAGAAAAATAGTAAATTTAGAAATGGATAACATTAGAATCATGACAAAGTGAAAGAAGCAAACCTCATAAAGTGGCTGTCCATCCACAACTACCCAGGGCACATACTGATGAGGAGGCTCAAGGGAATTGGTTTCAGCTGCATAATGTAACTCAAGCTGCATCATACATTGAGAAGAAAGTTGGGCTTAGACAAACTAAATATCAGCAGGAGAGAAAAATGAAAGAAAAAATAAACAAAAGAAGTTATCCGGTATGATACTGGATCAATAGAAAAACAGATAATTTATAATGAAGGCAACAAAACCATAAAAAACCAACCAAATGATAGAAGGTCAAGAAATAATATTGGGCCTGAAAAGGTCAGTTAGGCAATTAAAGGCATTTCCTCGTAGAAGACAATATAACAATCACTGTTTATACCAGTTTCACAGGCACCCAGGAACTATTTCTCCTACTACTAGATCATTAACTCCACAGTCCCTCACTGTGGAATCCACTATCAGGCCACAATTTCTTGTTTTTTTACTTCAAAGGAAAGTTAGAGACACAGAAACTAATATTTAATCACCGAAACAACTGGAAACTCCCCCAGCATTCTGGTAATAGATAAGTGCAGAAAATAGCTCCAAGTTTAAATCAAAAGTGTAGAGATGATACAATATTCATATCCTTCAAACAGTGTATATATACTACAAGCTACTGCAGCTTAATACAATATACATGCCAATTCTTGATAGGATAACAATGTTTGAGGACTAGACCAAACTAACAAATACAACTCACTCACAACTTGAATAAACATTGAAAAAGCACAGAACTAACCTCTGTCCCATTTCCACTGGTATAGCAATCAGAGATGGCTTTTGGATCCAATCCCAATTTCTCAAAGCATGTTTCCCATTCGGGGTACTTGTGCTCATACACCAAAGTCTCAACGCAATAGATAAATTGAAAATGCTCGTTCTGCATCACAAAACTATGTCATTAACAAAAACTTGACATGTCAAGGCAGGGTCAGGCAAGCAAATGCACTTTCATCATTCTAATTCCTAGGCAAGACTGCTACACGTTAAAGTTTTATGTCTTAAAAATTACAATTGAATTGGGAAATTTTCCACTGTATTACCCACAAATTATCATGAAATGTTATAAGCTCATACTACATTGAAACCAAGGCTTACCACGTCAGGCCAGATAGCAATAGCACAAGCTTCCACAGTGTTCAACAAGCATTCAGATGGACCATGCTGCAATAAATAAAATTGAAAACTTTAACTCAATTTAAGCTTTAAGGACTTTCTTCTTATTTCATATTCTCGGAAAGAAAAGAAAACCCAATTGAGAATGATAATAAAACAGTGGAACCTGACAATCGAAGGTGGTCTTGGTGCCGTTTCTGATTTTGGCATTACCCCAAGGGTAAAGATGAAGATCAACGACCGAGAGGAGGTCATCATCTTCAAAGACCTTAACTAAATAATTTATAATAAAATTGGCACTGTACGGACACAATGACTCGTAGTAGAGACCCAATTCGACTTTGTCGGTATCTGAAGGGAAAGTTCTAGAAGCTAAGACAGAACAGGAGAAGAAGAAGAAGCTCAACAAGACCATGCAAAAGACAAGAGATAGGGGTTTTCTCGGAGGAGAAGCCATGGATAGATACAATTTAAAACCTGAAAGCTAAAATGAGAGATGGGTTTCTTACGACAACCTTGCACGTGAAGTTGACACAGAGAAATTCAGTTGTCAGAGTAGTAGATTCCTAAGATAATTCTACGGAATTTGCCTTATCTCTTTTGTTTTCTTCAATAAATAAGTAAAAACGTATTTTTGGTTATATATATATATAATCAAAAGGGTTTTATTTATTTTTTATTTTTTCTTGTTTTTGATGATCAGTGTTTAAATCAATTTATGCGTAATTCAATTAGTTTTTTAGGATTGATGATAAAACTTATAATGACCACCCTATTTATTTATTTTATTTGGTTTAGTTTTATTCTCACCAAATTTTATGTTGTGCAAAAATAATTGATGTAGCAAAAGAATAAATTTCAATATTTGTTCCATTTTATGTAAATGTATTATCTAAGCTAGAATTTGTGTAACTCAGGATAAGTTTGCGTTAAATTAGAGCTTATCAGATAATAAAAAAAACCTGGCAAGAGATGGTGTTGTTGGGTCCGATCTTGGCGTTACCATACGGGACGAGCTTGAGATCAATTACGGAGATGAGTCCACTCTGGAAGAGCTTATTCAGATAGTTGACTATGAAATTTGAGCAATAAGGACAAAGGGTTTCATAATATAGTTCCAGAGACACTTTTCCATTCTGGGGATTGGATAGAACTACTCTGGAATTAGCTGGTGATAGAGAACTGATGATCAAGAACAGGTGCAGGAGAAGGGAGAGGAATTTATTAGAATTCATGAGAGTTTGATTTGAATGTAAAATGTGCAAATGGTCATCCAAATTGTATATAAAATATGCTATTATAGTAGCCTTATACATGCCTTTCAAGCTTTTGTCTTGGGCCCCGGGGAGATTGTCCTAACATGAATAGATAATTTGTCAGGATACTAATAATATTTGCCCCTGAAGATATTAAAAATTAACAAGACAAATTCTTGAACACAAAATTGGTAACTACGATAGTTTATATTACAGAACAAGAAGGTTATAGTTACAGAGCCACATACCAGTGACTAAAATTATTCATACTCATACATGCCTTCACAACTCATCACTTCTACGACAGAGATAAATTATTAAGCGCTGCTATGTGTAACTTCATTTAAGATATAAATCCCTTGCTCTTTAAACTCTCAACAGCATCCTTGATAATTTGCTCCATGGGAATGAATTGCATACCCAAGTCCATCAGCTTTTTTGATCCATCCTTGGTTCTCAACAAGCCAGGTTGGGTATCCTTCGGCAAACTAAAAGAAAATGCAGGCAAATAAACTTTCGCAGCTCATGGTGTCAAATCACTTGTATNCAACTCATCACTTCTACGACAGAGATAAATTATTAAGCGCTGCTACGTGTAACTTCATTTAAGATATAAATCCCTTGCTCTTTAAACTCTCAACAGCATCCCTGATAATTTGCTCCATGGGAATGAATTGCATACCCAAGTCCATCAGCTTTTTTGATCCATCCCTGGTTCTCAACAAGCCAGGTTGGGTATCCTTCGGCAAACTAAAAGAAAATGCAGGCAAATAAACTTTCGCAGCTCATGGTGTCAAATCACTTGTATCATACCAGAAGCATGACATTATATGCTGATAAGTAAGAGGATTGAAATGGTGAAATTTGCAAGAGCACTAAAATTCATATGACAATCAGCAGACTAAAGAACTAAAAATGTTCACCATCAGTCAAGGTATTTAATTTTTTTATTATAGAAGTTAAGGTATTTCATAAGATTATATGATGGGAAGAAAAAATGTTCTATATTTTCTGATTCAACATCATAATGTGAGAATCATGAATGTCTTTGGCATACGCATGCAATATGATGGGCAGTCTCAAAAGTCTGGCCCTTTTTAATGGCATATAACATCAAAGTTCTAGAAATAGATGAGGATTATCTTGTTCCAAATCAATCATGCTGTGTAGGAAGTAAGACTTGTTACCAGGGCACATTATATTCAGGATAAAGTTCTGCAACTTTGGCAACAAAGTCTCCATAATGAGATATAGCTTCAACACACAAGTGCCTTCCAGATGCTGATGGGTTCTCATAAACCAAGATATGTGACAAGGCGACATCTTTAAAGTGAACCAATCCCATAAAATGGTCCTCATATGTCTCAGTGCAACCTAAAGATGGACAAACCAGTTTTTTCTTAACTCCAAAAAGAGAACTTAAGAATGTTTAACTTACACAGATATGACAAATCATTTTTTAACAATAGAGAAGACTGAATCAATTAACTTGAGTCAGATTAACTGTAAATCGCTAAGTCTGAGATACCTCTCTACCTACCGAAATTAAGACTTTACGAACATAAATACTCAAGATTCAAGAACAGATATGAGTGTATAAACCTTTATTAGAAACATACTGAATGAAGAATCATTTTTAATAATTTGATCTTTTATAACTACCCATAGCCACAGATACAACTGCTAGTGCTACTTAACAGTTTCATTGAGCCAAAATCATAAAGTAAGCGTCAAATGTCAGATAAAAATAAACAAACTTTTTCAATTTATCAGAACTAGTCATAGAATGCAAAATCCTTAAATAGTAGTCAAAATTTTCATTTTGCTTCAAATAATACTCCAGTTAACCCACAAAAAACACGGACAAAAATTTCAACTAATCGGACCAATTATACACTCAGTCAAATATATCCAAATGGATCCTACAAGTTGGTAAAGAGCATTACCCTGCAGAAGGCGTACAAGCATGACCATACTAGGATTAAGTGTAGGGGGAATAACAGGGCCCATCACAGTTCCAGGATTCACCACCACAACATCTAAACCATTCTCCTTTGCAAATTCCCAGGCAGCTTTCTCAGCTAATGTTTTTGAAAGCGGATACCAGAACTATCACACAACAACAACAAAATTTGCATTTTCAGAACTTAAGGATCACATAGCAAGTAATGGGATGAACAACTATTTTTTTTTTTTTTCTTTTTTTTTTATCCCATATATCAATCATCGGAAATGAGTTGAGTTTTTTTGTTTTTTATTTTTCAAATATCTGTGTGTAGTATAAAATGTTTGAAAAATGCAGTATTACCCATGGTATACAAAACACAACTACAACACTACTACTACTTCTGAGCTTACAGTACCAAATCGGTCCAGCAATCCTCGCCTTGACTTTATCAGCTGGCCATTTAGGACTTGGCGTGATAGCCGAAACGGATGAAGTGACCACACGCGCTTGACTCCCACCGTTACCTGCGAGAGTACATTCACTGTTCCTTTAATAGCAGGATCCAAAAGTTCTTTCTGATCAAATTAGAAAAAAAAATAAAAAAAATCAGCTGAAGAGTAGAAAAAATATAATGTGAAAAATTAAAGCGTGGTGTAAGGACCTCAGGTCTAGACTTGACAACGATGCAGGGAGAGGCGAGGTGGAAGACACCAGCACAGCCGTTAATTGCGTCGAAGATTGAGTCATAGTCAAGAAGATCGATCTGAAGAGAGAGAAGCCCGGTGTCAGCTCCTTCTAAGGCTAGATGCTCAGTTCTTTTTTCATGTCTGTAACAACCGTAACAGAAAAGAAAAGGAAAGAAATTAGAGATAATTAATGGTCAGGTTTCGGAAAAATGGATATATAAAGTGAAAGATAGGGGAGAGTAACTGAGATTTCTGACAGTGGCGTGGACGGTGTAACGGCGGTCAAGAAGGAGGCGGACAAGCCAGGAGCCGATGCAGCCGCTGCCTCCGGTGACACAAACTACTTCACCTTCTTGTTGGACATTTTCGAATGAGCTGTAGAGTTCACTTCTGTTTCAGCTTCAGAAGCACGGTTCTGTGCTCGAGTGCGGAAGAAAGATGACTTACGTCGTACTCGGCGTTTGTTTTGGAATTATTTGTAGGGACAATTGTTTTTTAACAAATCCAAAAAGGACAAAACTTTTTAATATTTCAAAAAGAACCCCACACACTCACCGTAGTAATAAAATTTTCAGACTGTAGATTAGATTAAATATTCAACAACTTTATTTATATGAAAGTAGAAAATATCATCAACAGTAAGATTTAAGTACCAAATTTAAGAAAGGAAATTTGATTTGGTAGGTTCACCTAAAATAGGTCACGGTTGTTTGTATCATTCAAAAAACTGACAAGGAACTCATAAGTACACAACATCAGCCATGACAAAGTGATAAGTGTATAAATCTCAGAGGCATCTACATTGAAACTGCCATGTTCATCTTACGCATCCATGATATTATCACTGATCTGATTCGTGTAGACCATGTTGTTGTTCTCCTATTACAACCTGGACCTGTAGGCTCTGCCTTCTCCTTGTAGACTGCATTAAGGGTATATTGCTGCAAGCTCGGTAGAGCAGTGCCATTATAGCCTTGCAGATGTAGCTTATAAAGTTTTCATAGTCCTGCAGCAAGAGAATATGTCATTTCTAGAAGAGTTTTGCAATCCCTGGATTCTACCCACAATCATTCAATCTTTCTAATGGCAAGATAACCAAGAGTGTAAGGTAATTTTCAACATTTACAAACAACAATAAAAATTTATGATGTCAAGAGAATAATTCATGAGGAAAAATAGTAAATTTAGAAATGGATAACATTAGAATCATGACAAAGTGAAAGAAGCAAACCTCATAAAGTGGCTGTCCATCCACAACACCCAGGGCACATACTGATGAGGAGGCTCAAGGGAATTGGTTTCAGCTGCAATTTAACTCAAGCTGCATCAAAATTGAGGAGAAAGTTGGGCTTGAGAACTAAATATCAGCAGAGAAGAAAAATGAAAGAAAAAATAAACAAACAGTTATCCGGTATGATATTGGTCAAAAGAAAACAGATGATTTATAATGAAGGCAACAAAACCATAAAAAACCAACCAAATGATGGAAGGTCAAGAAATAATATTAGGCTGAAAAGGTCGTCGGTAGGCAATTAAAGGCATTTCCTCGTAGAAGACAATATAACAATCAGTTTTTTACCAGTTTCAGGCAGCCAGGAACTATTTTTTCTATACTTTAATTAAATCCACGTCCCTCAGTGTGGAATCCACTATCAGGCCACATTCTTGTTTTTACTTTTAAAGAAAGTTAGAGACACAAAAACTAATATTAATCACCGAAACAACTGGAAATCCCCCAGCATTCTGGTAATAGATAAGTGCAGAAAATAGCTCCAAGTTTAAATCAAAAGTGTAGAGATGATACAATATTCATATCCTTCAAACGTGTATATATACTAGAATACTGCAGCTTAATACAATATACATGCCAATTCTGATAGGATACCAATGTTTGAGGACTAGACCAAACTAACAAATACAACTCACTCACAACTTGAATAAACATTGAAAAAGCACAGAACATAACCTCTGTCCCATTCCACTGGTATAGCAATCAGAGATGGCTTTTGGATCCAATCCCAATTTCTCAAAGCCTGTTTCCCATTGGGTACTTGTGTCATCACCAAAGTCCAACGCAATAGATAAATGAAAATGCTCGTTCTGCATCACAAAACTATGTCATTAACAAAAATTGACATGTCAAGGCAAGGTCAGCAATAATGCACTTTCATCATTCTAACCGAGGCAAGACTGCTACACATTAAAGTTTTATGTCTTAAAATTACAATTGAATTGGGAAATTTTCCACGTATTACCCACAATATACATGAAATGTATAAGCTCATACTACATTGAAACCAAGGCTTACCACGTCAGGCCAGATAGCAATAGCACAAGCTTCACAGTGTTCAACAAGCATTCAGTGGACCATGCTGCAATAACATCAAAACAGATTATTCAGCAAATTCAATGCCAATAAAATGAGAACTTTAACTCAATATAAGGACCTTCTTCTTATTTCATATTCTTCGAAAGAAAAGAAAACCCAATTGAGAATGATAATAAAAAAGTGGGACTGACAATCGAAGGTGGTGTTGGTGCCGTTTCTGTTTTGGCATTACCCCAAGGGTAAAGATGAAGATCAACGACCAGAGGAGGTCATCATCTTCAAAGACCTTAACTAAATAATTTATAATAAAATTGGCACTGTACGGACACAATGACTCGTAGTAGAGACCCAATTCGACTTTGTCGGTATCTGAAGGGAAGTTCTAGAAGCTAAGACAGAACAGGAGAGAAAGAGGAAGCTCAACGAGACCATGCAAAAGCCAAGAGATAGGGTTTTCTCGGAGGAGAAGCATGCATGGTAGATACAATTTAAGACCTGAAAGCTTGATTTTGATTCTCTTTTCTCGTTTTTAGTTAAAAAGATGAGATGGGTTTGTTACGACAAACCTTGCACGTGAAGTTGACATAGAGAAATTCAGTTGTCAGTAGTGTAGATTCCTACGATAATTCCACGGAATTTGCTTATCTCTTTGTTTTCTTCAATAAATAAGCAAAAACTTATTTTTGGTTTATATATAAACATTTAATCAAAGGGTATTTATTTACTTTTTTTGTTGATGATCGGGATCAACTTTTTTTTTTTCTAAGTAAATTGTAATATATATTAAAAGAGAAGGATTTACAAAGGCTACAAAAAGGCGGTAAACCTGCAGTGGGACGTCCCGCATAAGGTGTAAAAATAACGTCTAAGCTTGATACAACACAATTTTTTTGGGATATGGGAGACTATATAAACCAATGTGGGAGATAAGACCCAAGAGAATAATCTAACTAAGAAATCAACAAGAAGAACCATCCTCAGGATAATCTCCTGGGTTTGGTTTCAAAACACATACAATGAGAACAAAGAAGACTCACAAGAGAGAAACAAAGAGAGTAGGATGCATCACGCAAAAACTTCACAAAACAACGAGTACTCAATAAGTCTCAATCGAAATAACAACATATTCACCCGATCACATGGTCTCAATAACATTGGGAGTGGAAAAGGTGTTTTTGAAGATGGTTTTAAAATCCCCATGGATCAGCCACTTCCTATTTTTATAGGAAGATTTAATTGCTAAGTTCCATGGCTTTATCTCTCACCAACTTTTGATAGTATTGATAATAGTGCGAGAATCCTTGCACTCTCCCCCAAAGATTCTATAATTTCACTCCCTCCAAACCATACACCGCCCTTAGACAAAGCCACCAAGGGGACTTTTAGACTCTTACCTTTCCATTTCCTAGCCAAATGGGGGATGTATCATGCCAAAGGCATAAGTATTTACTCCAAATAGATTTAGAAAAAGGGCATGCAAAAAAAGGTGGTCAAGAGATTCCATACCTGAGTTACGAAAACAACAATAAGCATTAGTGGTTGTAACACCATACCTCATCAACTTATCTTTGTAGGCAATCTCTCCTTTAATGCCATCCACAGATCATAGAGTACCTTGGAATAGCCTTTGAAAACCCACAAGTCAACCAATCAACTTTTGCTTTTCTTCCTCTAATTCTCTCAAGCCGATTTTTTAGAGAAATCCCTCGAACGTGAAGGTTGCTAACAAAGCTTGTCCTCAACACTAGAAGGTGTGAAATTCACGAGTTTCTCATGTCAATAAGCGAAGAGTTTGCTTTCTTCTTCTAAGTGGCCACTCCAATTACACCATCAATCACAACACTCACCTTAGCATCTTAGCAAACCTTGTATCATAAATAATCCTATCCCCATTGGTGCAAAAGGGGGTCCTTCGGGTGCCAATTATCAAACCAAAGAGAAATGTTTGGATCAACTTGCGTATACTTAAACTAATTTCTTGAAAGTGGGACCTGAAACTACCAGTCCAATATGTGGCCACCCTATTTATTTTTTATTTGGTTTAGTTTTTTATTACCAAAATTTATGTTGTGCAAAAATGATTGATGTAGCAAAAGAATAAATTCAATATTTGTTCGATTTTGTGTAAATCTAAGTTAGATTGTGTAACTCAGAGTATAAGTTTGTGTTAAATTAGAGCTTATCAGATAATTAAAATTAAAAAAAAAAAAAAAAAAAAAAAAAAACCTGGCAAGAGATGGTGTTGTTGGGTCCGATTTGGCGTTACCAATACGGGTGAGCTTGAGATCAATTACAGAGATGGGTCCATTCTGGAAGAGCTTATTCAGATAGTTGACAATGAAATTTGAGCATTGACATAAGGACAAAGGGTTTCATATATAGTTCCAGAGACAATTTTCCATTCTGGGCATTGGATAGAACTACTCTGGAATTAGCTGGTGATAGAGAACTGATGATCAAGAACAGGTTAGGGAAGGAGAGGGAATTTATTAGATTCTGAGAGTTTAATTTGAATGTAAAATGTGCAAATGGCATCCAAATTGATAAAAATATGCTATTATAGTAGCCTTAGTATGCGTTTCAAGCTTTTTCTTGGGCCCCTGGGGAGATTGTCTTAGCATGAATAGATAATTGTCAGGATACCATTCTGCCCCTGAAGAAATATTAAAAATTAACAGGACAAATTCTCCAACACAAAATTGGTAATTAGTAAAATATGTTCATCGAATGATGGTTATATTACAGAACAAGAAGGTAATAGTTACAGAGCCACATCCCAGTGACTAAAATTATTCATACATGCCGTCACAACTCATCACTTCTACGACAGAGATATATTATTAAGCGATGCTACGTGTAACTTCATTTAAGATATAAATCCCTTGCTCTTTAAACTCTCAACAGCATCCCTGAAATTTGCTCCATGGGAATGAATTGCATACCCAAGTCCATCAGCTTTTTTGATCCATCCCTGGTTCTCAACAAGCCAGGTTGGGTATCCTTCGGCAAACTACAAGAAAATGCAGGCAAATAAATTTTCGGAGCTCATGGTGTCAAATCACTTGTATTTATACCGAAGAAGGACATTATATGCTGATAAGCACATAATGAACTAAAATGCTCACAATCAGTCAAGGTATTTCATAAGATGATATGATGGGAAGAAAAAAATGTTTTATATCTCTGATTCAAACTCATAATGTGAGAATCATGAATGTTTTGGCATACGCATGCAAATATGGGCAGTCTCAAAAGTTTGGCCCTTTTAATGGCATAAACATCAAAGTTCTAGAAACAGATGAGGATTATCTTGTTCCAAATCTAGCATGCGGTGTAGGAAGTAAGACTTGTTACCTGGGCACATTATATTCAGGATAAAGTCTGCAACCTGGCCACAAAGTTCCATAATGAGATATAGCTTCAACACACAAGTGCCTTCCAGATGCTGATGGGTTCTCATAAACCAAGATATGTGCCAAGGCGACATCTTTAAAGTGAACCGATCCCATAAAAAAGTTCTCATATGTCTCAGTGCAACTAAAGATGGACAAACCAGTTTTTTCTTAACTCCAAAAAAGAAAACTAAGAATGTTTAACTTACACAGATATGAAAAATCTTTTTAACAATAGAGGAGACTGAATCAATTAACTTGAGTCAGATTAACTGAAATCACTAAGTCTGAGATACCTCTCTATCCACTGAAATAAGACCTTAGAACATAAATACTCAAGAACATAAATTAGTGCTCAAGTGCACCCTTTCCTTATTAAAAAACACATGAATGAAGAATCATTTTTTATAATTTGATCACTATAACTACCCATAGCCACAGATACAAATGCTAGTGTGCCTTAACTGTTTCATTGAGCCACAACTATAAAATGAGAGTCAAATGTCAGATAAAAAGAAACAAACTTTTCTTTAGCTAGACATAGCATGCAAAATCCTTAAGTAGTAGTCAAATTTTTCATTTTGCTTCGAATAATTTACTCAGTATTTCAACTAATTGGACAATTTACACTCAGTCAGATGCATCCTACAAGTTAGAAGTTGGTAAAGAGCATTACCCTGGAGAAGTGTACAAGCATGTGCATACTAGCATTGAGTGTAGGCGGAATAACAGGGCCCATCACAGTTCCAGGATTCACCACCACAACATTTAAACCATTCTCCTTGGCAAATTCCCAGGCAGCTTTCTCAGCTAATGTTTTGAAAGCGGATACCACAACTATCACACACAACAACAAAATTTGCATTTTCAGAACTTAAAGATCACATAGCAAGTTATGGATGAACAAACTATTTTTCTTTTATCACCATATCATTCATCTCAGGAAATGAGTTGAGTTTTTTTTTTTTTTTTAACTTCAATATTCTGTCTGTTAGGATAAAATGTTTGTAAAATTGCAGTATTACCCATGGTATACAAAACAGCAACTACAACAACTACTACTTACTTCTTTGAGCTGACAGTAATCAACATCGGTCCAGCAATCCTTGCCTTGACTTTATCAGCTGGCCATTTAGGACTTGGCGTGATAGCCGAAATGGATGAAGTGACCCCCACGCGCTTGACTCCCACCGCCTTAGCTGCCAGAGTACATTCACTGTTCCTTTAATAGCAGGATCCAAAAGTCTTTTGATCAAATTAGAAGAAAAAAAAAAATCAGCTGAAGAGTAGAAAAATATAATGTGATAAAATAAAGCCGTGCTGTAAGGACCTCAGGATCTAGGACTTGATCAACGATGCAGGGAGAGGCGAGGTGGAAGACACCAGCACAGCCGTAATTGCGTCGAAGATGAGTCATAGTCAAGAAGATTGATCTGGAAGAGACGAAGCCGCGTGTCAGCTCCTTCTAAGGCTTTTAGATGCTCAGTTTCTTTTTCATCGTCTGTAACAACAGTTAACAGAAAAAGAAAAGGAAGAAATTAGAGATAATTAATGGTCAGGTTTCGGAAAAATGGATATATAAAAGTGAAAAGATAGAGGGAGAGTAACTGAGATTTCTGACAGTGGCGTGGACGGTGTAACGGCGGTCAAGAAGGAGGCGGACAAGCCAGGAGCCGATGCAGCCGCTGCCTCCGGTGACACAAACTACTTCACCTTCCTTGTTGGACATTTTCGAATGAGCTGTAGAGTTCACTTCTGTTTCAGCTTCAGAAGCATCGGTTCTGCGGTCTTGAGTGCTGAAGAAAGATAACTTACGTGCTACTCGGCTGTTTGTCTTCGGAGTTATATTGTAGTTAGGTACAATTCTTTTTTAAGATATAAAAGAAGGACATAATTTTTTAAACATTTCAAAAAGGGCCCCACACATAGAAAAATATCATCAACAGTAAGATTTACGTACCAAATTTAAAAAAAAGGAGATTTGATTTTGGTAGGTTCACCTAAAAAAGGTTACCTGGTTGTTTTGTTGATTGAGATAGTGAATAAGGAGGAGGTTGTTGTTAGCTCTCATGCGAAGGATTGCTTCTTGTTCTGCATCAATCGCTTCAAGATCATTCATCAATTGCACATCATCATATTCATTATCGGAAAATGAAGATGAATTAGAAGATGATAAATGAGACGGACTTCCAATATTGATATTCATCTTTGTAGATCAATAAGTTGAATGATTTGGAAGTTGATTTGGTGTGAGCTTTTATAATCAAAGAAGGTATTATTTTGGACAAAAAAAATATTATTTTATATGATTAAAAAATGGTTTATCTTATTTCAAAAGATGTATTGTCTATTCAAACTTTTGAGATTTGTGTCTCATTTAAAAAGATATATTGTCCATTTAAGATTTTGAGATTTGTGGCTTATTTCAAAAAGATGTATTGTCCATTCAAACTTTTGAAATTTGTGTCTTATTTCAAAAGATGTATTGTCCATTCAAGTTTTTGAGAAAAGATGTATTGTCTATTCAAGCTTTTGAAATTTGTGTTTTATTCAAAAAGATGTATTGTCCATTCAAGCTTTTGAGATTTGTGTTTTATTCAAAAAGATGTATTATCCACTATTGTAAAATCTGGCCAGGCCTGATGGTTTAATTGGTTTAACTGGGAACCGAGAGCTTTTTCGGAACGGGTTAACATTTTTCTTATTCACCCAAAACCCTAGAATTTGGGATGATGATCGACAAACTATTGAAGGCCAGGGTGTTGGGACTTTTGAAGAGAAAGTGTCGGTGAGTGCAATGATGTCGACAGAGTTGATTTACAGTGAGTGAATCGAAAGGAAATCGAAAAAAAAACTGGCGACGGCAATAGCCGGTGATTGGCAAGGCTAATCGGGTGGGGGTGAAGTGAGGTAGGTTTTCATCAAGAGGAAGAAGAGAGTATTTTCGGAGTGATGGAGAGGGTTGTTGACGCTGGTGTCGATGATATCTGGGTTAGAATGTCGACCAAATCTTGGGTAGATTTTCTGGTGAATGAGCTCAAGGGATGATTGAGATTGCGTTTGGGGTGTTGTCGCTGCCAACTAATTGTGCCAATTTGTATATGGGCTGTGTTTGCTAAATTTCAATTGTATAAGGACTTAACAATTTTTTAGGGGTATATTTGCTGAATTTTAAAAGTTTTGTTACCGGTTTGATCTTCTACATTTGTGTTAAAAAATGGCTACACAACAAAGTTCCTCGTACACAAATGAAGAAGACATGCATCTATGATATATTTATCTTGATGTTTCTCAAAACCCGATTTCAGGTATAAACCAATCCAATAATCAATTATGGTCTCGAGTTGAGCTTGACTACAGTAGTTCCAAACCTGTGTTTCTTACTCAGATTCGAAACAAAAGATTTTTGTAGAGTCAAATGCAATTGATCTTTAAAGCTATTGACAAATTGAGGGGATGCGTACGTCAAATTAAAAATATGAATCCAAGTGGTGCTTTTGAGCAAGATATTGCGAGTATCTATTGCATTACATTTATTAATATTTTTTACCTAATTGACTTTAAAGTTACATGTATATCGTTTTGTAGTTGTTTCGAGCCAAAATGTTACTGGCACAAGATAAAAGTTACAAGAAAGGTTTTAGATTTGATCATGTGTGGCCTATACTTAAGTATATTGAAAAATTTACCGATAATGTTAAGTCGTTAACGCTGCAAAAGTATTTCAACGGCAAACTGGTAGTTTGTATCATCAGAATCAGAGACTCTCACTTCAGAGTCTCCCCAATCGGTGTCTCCTCGGCTATCGTCATTTTCTCTAAACATAAATGATGAATCTTGGCGGTATTTCAGCTCAACAACCCAATGGGTAAGAAAGCAAAATTAAAAAGGAAAAATGATGAAGAAGTTTCAACAATTATTGAAACTATTAAAGAAGAAAATTGACAGCTCGCTGAAACTTTCAATCGGGACAGCTCAGATAGGGCAGAAAATTACGAAATCCAAATGAAAAAATTGACTTTGGCAGAATATCGGGAAGATAATAAAATTTTATTTAAAGATTTGAATTCCATAACCGATTCGAGCTTGCGTGAGTTTTTTCAAAATAAGCAATTAAGAATTATGCAAAAAAGAGCTCAATAACAAGGTCAATGATCTCAAAATACCTCTAGTTCTTTAAGCTAATGTTTTGATAATCTTAGAGGAATTGGAATTAATTGTCGGAATACTAAATTATTATCCTAGTTTATGTTATATTTTCTTTTAATTTTAGTGTTTTTAAATTAGTGTTAATTTATTTTGAGTTATTGAAGTTTAATATTTGCATTGTAATGAAGTTTTGTCTTTAATTTTTCATCATTTTTTGAATTATAATTATTACAAATTCATTATTATAAATATTAATATAAATAATAATCAAATTAACATAAATACAAATTAAAAAGAATAAATAACAAAAATAAGGATATAAATGTAATAAAATATAATTTAAGAGATAAAATGTAAGATTTATTTTGAAAGAGAAAAGAAAAATGACTATATTGAAAAATGCAAAAATTATTTGGTGTTTTGGTGTGAATGAACAAATTTGGTGTGATTTAGAATTGGGTTGGAATAACATTTGAACACCGTTTTGGTGTTTTACACTAATTTAGGATCCCATTTGAGATGGCCCAAACAAGGTAAAAATGGTTTGGCAAAGTTGAAGGAAAGGCTTAAATCAAACCTCTCTGAAATTATGAGAATCATTTTGATTTATCTTCATTAATATTAATATTATCAAACTATTTCGTTGCATCATTGTTTTAAAACCTAGATCAAAGGACAACCTGTTTTGCTGTCCTTGCTGCCCGAATAACAGGTCAACCGGTTGGATCAACCGGTTGGATAGATGAGGTCAACGACAATTTTATTTTTAAAAAATTACATATTAATCCTTTAAATTTTAATATATTAAAAATTCCCCTAAAAAGTTTAAATTAGTCACTAAAATTTTTATTTATTTCAAAAAGGCCCCAAAAAATTCAATTAATCCCTAAACTTTTGACATATCTTCCAAAACACCCCTATAAAATTACAAATTAACCCTTATAATTTTGACATATTAAAAACCCCCCTAAGACCTGAACCGGACCGAAGAAGCTGCCGGGTCCCGATCGGACGGCTGGTCTAGTCCGGTTTTCAAAACAGAGCTTTGCATTACTGAACACAATAATTAATTTCACACTAACAATTCCTGTTGCCAGGATCCATATTTATTGCCTGCACTGGCCTTTTGTTTGTAATGACTTCATCATGAATGATACTACAATCTTTCAGTAGATGCAGTATGTAAAGTAACAACTAAAAAAACTCCAAATCAATTTGTTGGAGATTGTACAAGTCATATATATAGGGTCTATCCTGAATGTGAAGAATATATTGACTACTGAAACTGTAATGGATAAAGAATGGTAATGGTACAAGAGCAATAATAAACTATGGTTTCAATGATACATCCCTTCATTATTACGAGGGATGGTATTAAAATGAGGTTTGTAGATAACAAAAGGGAAACTGTAAATCTCGCATGCTAGCAATCGCTAATAATCTCCAAAGCCTGGATAAATGGATGCTTTGCAAAAATGGTACATAGTACATCATCCACTCAAGTATGTCTATCTAAAAACTTCTCTATCACAACCGAAAATGCGGCGAAACCAGCACAACCGACACATGCAGCTTTTGGCCCACCTAGATGAGACAAACAATAAGATAAATAAGGCTGCTTACCGAGTAAAGCAAGAAATCTTAAATCAAATAACAAGGGTGAGGACCAAATCTAATATTTTGAGTGAGGCATACAACAAAAAGCTGCTTGTTATCTAGTTGGATGTTCAAGAGAATATATCCACCATTATTTTTTTTAATTTAACGAATTAAAATATCTTGACAGGAGTCCAAATACACCAAAACAATGAAAACCATGCTAGAGAAGTATTTCCCTGAACATAAAAAGGATAACCTTTAAGCGCAAAGAAACCTAAACTTACTACATTCTCACTCTTGTATAAGAGCACCATTTCAGACCAGCATATTCCCCAGGATATCAAACAGAATGGCAAAAATGTCTTAAGCAAAGTAAAAAGAACTTGAAACTACAGAAAAAGAGCATTCCCTTTTTTCTATGTAATTGACAACCATATAAAAGACTTAAGCTCACTATCAAATGCTTTGACTCTCCCCATGCACGAGATCAACTATGCCAAACATCATTAACACCAGCCACTATTTCCAGGTAAGTGATCAGGTTTTGCAAATAAGTCAAACCGAGAAATGGTGCCAATAACCATTAGTATACAACCACCAAGTTTCAGACCTAAAATAAGAACTCCTTACAAACCCTTCTCAAACCCTAGCTGTCCATTTTCTATCAACAAATGATACAGCATCTGGGTTGACTAATGAGATGATATAGGCATGTAAAACCATTAAAGGGGGCACCATCAAATTTATCTTGCCAAGTACTTCAGTACATTGGACAAAAAGGAGGAAAAGGAATAACAGCTTGCCAAAAGCAAGGAAAAGATCAGACAATATTTTAGCAGTTCTATTGGCATTCATTGCAGAACATGACAAAGCCACAATGAGATACTGGCTATATCACTTTAAAGTTTGCCGTCTCCATTTGAATTAATAATGCCTAATTTTATGCCTATCATAAATTACAAGTCCGCAAAAGAATATCACAACTTTGTAGCTCAGGTATTCAGAAAATTGCACGAGATCACTTTAAAGGATGATACTGAAGAAAGTAACGATAATGTCCAACTTCCAAACTTATTGATCTCTACATGAATACTATAATGGACTTGACTATCATGTTTTGTTGTTTCAATTTTTCTAAAGAAAATTACAAGAGAAAAATATCATTCTAAAGTTCAACCATGCAGATGATTTGCATGGAAATATGATGGCATTCCTGCACACTGAATTCGATTGCAAAAGAAAAAAGACAGTCTGATTAACTAGATTCAAATTGTCAGTCGGGAACATTTTATGTGTCTTCTCCAGAGAGTGAAGTCCATAACTGACTGCTTTCTGAAGCTCATACACATTCCATGTATTATGTATAGGATATCAAATGACAACAATGAAAAGATTACCTTTTGCCGACATTGTACCTCCAGTCACACACCCCGCAACAACCGTATTGGTGGTGTCGTGTTTTGCCCGTGCCTTTAAAAGGAATAGTACAAAATTAGTCCCTAAAGCAAAAATATTAACTCATGAAGCATATATCAAAATGCACATTACCTTCTCAATAACACACTCAGCAGCAGAGAAAACCAAGCCCATGACTGCAAATGTTTTGGCTGAACTCCAGCTTCTTTGCCCCATTTGCCTCATAGTGTACATAAATTGCTGCCTACCAGTCATTTCTTCTTGCATTATTGGATTATCTAGTGCACCTAAAAAGATACCCATGGCAAACCCCAGACCACCCCCTACAATAATCCAAAACGCAAAAACAAACAAACCCATCAAATAATTATCCTCCAAATCCCCAAAACCGTGCACACTAACCTTCAAAACTTAAATGCTCAGAATAATTGCTCAACTTAGCTGATTAAAATTCAAGTTTTTTCCTTCAAATTCAAATCAATAGTGCTCCTTCAGACCACGAAATAAATGGTGATAAATAAAGAATATAAATTACAAATAAATAAATAAATAAGGGCTTCTCACCCATGACTCCACTGACAACACTACGAACAGCACAGTTATTCCAAACTTCTTGCGCGCGAATCTCCTCCGTTGTGGGCATTCTAAATGCCTCATATTGAGGCTTATCTGGCTCTTTTGAAACCGAAGAACCGTTGTCAGATTCAGCATCAGGATGTGAAGAAGCCATCTTTTGATTGGAGGAAGAAGAAAAAAAAACTAAAATTTATGAAAGATGTGTGATTTCAAACAATCAGAACGGCCATATAAATCCCAATATTATACTTGGATATCAAGCAAGAGGGTTTTGGGGGTTTTGAGGTTTAGCCGCCCATTGAACACTCCAATAAAAGAGACTTTTGTTTTAGCGTGTTAAGAGGGTGAGTCACAGCCGGTGTACTTTAACACCTATTCTAATTTTTAACTGGACCCGGTCCCACCTAAAATTCCGGAGATGGCAGAATCGTAATTAGATGGGTTAATGTTTTGAACGCCGTCCAACGCGTAAAAAAAGACGTCACATTCGTAGTTAAGCAAATAGGGCATCAAGCCTCTGAGCCGTTGTATAAAGTGTGAGCAGCTGAAGCTTACTTGCTTTGAGAGAGTGGCACCAACATTTTCACATTTCACTTTGTTTTTATTTTCTCTGTTTTGCAGGTGAAATATCCACGCCGTGCGCTAATCAAAGTCCAGAGCAGCAACATGGTTAGATTGTGTTTCATTTTATGTTTTTTTTTTTTTTTTTGATAATATTTTTAGTTATTTTTCATTCTTTTATCAATGTGTGAATGTGATTTGAACTTTCTTGTGTTTCATTTATTTGATGATAGTTCTGTTTCTGTATTCATCTTTTTGGGTTCTTCTGCTAGGTATTGTTATTAAAGTAGCGGCCTTTCCTGTGTTTTTTTTGTTTTTTTGATTTTTTGTGTAGTAAATATTGTGTCTTTAGTTTATTCAAATCCGGGGGGATGCAAAAAAGTGTGAGATGGAGTATTTTATATATGCAGTGTTAATTAAAACGAGTCAAAAGGCATGGATAGGTGTCTATTGTTACTAATTCATGATTTTAAGTGAAGGAAAGTTGCTAATATTGGATTTTGATTTTTTTTTCCTCGGTTTATGTAAGTAATTGAAGTATAGTAACACATATATTGTGTTACTATAATTTTTGTTATGGGAGGAGGCAATGTGTTGTAATTGGTAGAAAGAAGATGGTTTCGTTGTTCCATTATTTTTGAATGAGTTTTTTTTTTTCCGGCCTGTAATGTGTTTACTTACTTTCAAAGTTTTGCGAGTGTAATATGGTAATGTGTTGAACAATTTATTGTTATTGTGGTTGCTGAGATTTGGTTTTTATGGTGTGCTACAGGCTAGAGGTTTGAAGAAACATCTGAAGAGGCTTAATGCCCCAAAGCACTGGATGCTTGATAAACTTGGGGGTGCATTTGTAAGTGAGGATTTTGAGATGATTGTTGGTTATTTGGTTCACTAATGCTTTTGGTTGTGACATTTTCTATTTCTTCATGTAGGCTCCCAAGCCTTCGTCTGGGCCCCACAAGTCCAGGGAATGCTTGCCACTAATCCTGATCTTGCGAAACAGGTTGAAGTATGCCCTTACATACCGTGAAGTCATTGCAATTTTGATGCAGCGACATGTTTTGGTTGATGCGAAGGTTCGCACTGATAAGACTTACCCTGCAGGCTTCATGGGTATGCATGCCTCAACCTATTTGCTATTGTTTCCTTTTTGTCAATTATTATGTAGTATTAATATTGTGAGATGAGTTGAAGCATTATACTGGGAATATAGCTTCTTCATTGCAGGCAGCGTAAAATCCAATTTAAGTTCGAGATAGATCCATCATTTAGACCTGATTTCCATAGTTTTAGTTTTGTACATGTCGTATCTATTGGCAGATGTTGTATCAATTCCAAAGACAAATGAGAACTTTCGTCTGCTTTATGACACTAAGGGCCGCTTTCGCCTTCATTCAGTCAGGGATGATGAGGCAAAGGTTAGTCCTGAAAGTCAATTTGTTTTTATGTTGGACTTTGTTATTTGGAGAATATATTGTATTATTTGATACGTTATAACAGAAAGGATACTCAACATGAATCAATTATTAGTTTTCTGTTGTTTTAACATATTGCATAATTAAATCAATGTGATGAGATTTTTCAAAGTTGAATCATATGTAAAGGAAGACAATAATCCCTACAGGCTAGAAAAGTGATTTGCCCATTGGCCCAGCACATGTTTGAGTAAAATCCGTGACCCAATGTATTTGAGAATCCATGAAATAGAATGTGCCAGCCACATGATTGCTGTCTTTATTTACCTATTTTGGGAGTGTTTTTGTAGAATTGTTACCAAAGAATTCTTAGAATCCACGAATCCTATCATGATTCTATTTCTATCTCATCATACTGATTTCTGGTGTACTGATGCCTGTAAATTGTTGCACTTCTGTTATGCGTATTTAATTATTACCTGACTTGGGCTCTAAAATGTGTCTTACAGTTCAAGCTCTGCAAGGTCCGATCAGTGCAATTTGGACAGAAAGGAATCCCTTACCTCAACACTTATGATGGAAGAACTATTCGCTATCCAGACCCACTTATCAGGGCCAATGACACCATCAAGCTAGACTTAGAGACCAACAAGATCACTGAATTCATCAAGTTTGATGTTGGAAATGTTGTGATGGTAACTGGAGGCAGGAATAGAGGACGTGTTGGAGTCATTAAGAACAGAGAGAAACATAAAGGGAGCTTTGAGACCATCCACATCCAAGATGCTCTAGGTCATGAGTTTGCAACCCGTCTAGGTAATGTTTTCACCATTGGCAAGGGTACTAAGCCATGGGTGTCTCTCCCCAAGGGCAAGGGTATCAAATTGTCTATCATCGAGGAGGCAAGAAAGAGACAAGCCCAAGCAACTTCTGCATAAAGATGATAACTTGAACCACCTCATGCCATGTCTTTAGAATGTTTACTAGATGGAAAAGTTAGTTCGAGTTCTGCAATTTGATACTTTCTTTGAGTTTCATTCAGTGTTCTTTCTTTTTTTGGACCATAGTAGCTAGGTCAAGTTTATGAGTTGCAACACCTGTTTTAGTTCTAGTTTGGGAGGGAATGAAGAAATAACATTTATAGACATTTTTTTGACAATAGTAGCAATGAAATTTTGGTTCATTTCCAAGTTCCAACATCGTTCTGTTTCCTTTCCAGTCGTTTAAGCTAATTGACTCTTAATGAATGGCCCTTCTATCCCAGAAACTAGCTCAAAATCTATTACACCAGCTGCTGACAATCATCTAAGATCTTCTTGTTTCTAACTTGCTGATAATGGAATAGATAATCAAGTATTAACTTCCTCCAACATCAAAAGGTCTCAATCGATTGTCTTTGTGATTGCAAATTATTGACATTTCCCACTAACATAAATAAAAATAAAGGTTCAATAGCTGAGAATCAAAATTGTACATTGTGTAGACAGAATTAAGAAGTTTTGAATGGATGTATGAACATCAAGAACTACCATTTCCTTTGCCCACTCTTCTTTAACTAAAATCCTACATATTCCAAAAGTTTCTTGATGGATTGGCTTCCACCTAAATGTAGTGAAAACAAATGACTGAATCATATGCTGCACCTAGAATTCTTCAAATGTGAAGCTAAATAACAATTAAAAAAAAGACTCTCCAGAAAATCAGCCAAGTGCACCTCATTTTTGTCATAAAAAATGCGATATCCACCGAAAGTTTGGTATCGAACAATTGCACCAAAGTACATGGACGTCGCCATGTTGGACCATAGAACACTGACGTAAATGGATGGCCATCCAACGGTTTCGAACGGCCGTCCATACTTCCTGGACGGCCGTTCATAATGGAATGGACGAGGGTCCATAAAAAGTATTTAAAAAAAAAAAACAACAACAACAACAATGGACGCTTGTCCAAATTCTATGGACTGACGTCTAGTTAATATGGATGGCCGTCCAAATTATATGGACGATTGTCCAAAAAGCACATACTCAGTGCTTTTGTTTCCAGTTCAGCTTGCTTCTTCTTCGTTTTTGATAATTTAACCTCCTTCTACAACAAGACTGACTCGTCCTTCTACACCAAGACTGAACTAAGCTCTTGTTTCGCAGCTTCAACTTGCCTAAGTGCTCGGCCCGGTTCCACTTCAAGTTGCTGTTGGTTCGACACAAGTTCAATAAAAGCAGTTTTGTGCTTCTAAATCTCAGTAGAATTATATTATTTTATCGTGTCTTACGTGGTGATGTCCGAGTCAGAGGCCATGTATTTCGGTGCAATTTTTCGATACCCATTTCTGGTGTCTGTAGCATCGCTGCTATTGTCATTAGCTATCTGCAAGTTTCGGTTCGAACACAAAGAAAAGGTCCAATCTTTTGCATACACATTGATGCATTTTCATTTTCAGGCTCAGACAAGTTTGACGAATTCTCATATCATGAATGGTTACATATTTCTTATTATCTTATCCAGTTCAAATATGGGAATGATGAATTATGTTGATGCCTAATGCATCTACAGAAGTGAAAGAACAAATTATGGAAACACAGTGATATAATCACCAAACTCATCATCTTCACAAGTCTTTTTTTTTTTTTTTTTCTTTTGGTGACGAGGTATCCGGGTCAGTTTACACGTATCTCAATAAATCTTCACCTCTATTACCAACCTAGGTGGACTGAACTCAAGACAACTCTTAAGTAATACACTCAAAAGTCTAGTTGACCGTTAGATCATCCAGTAGTGGTTATCTTCACAAGTGATTGATGATTGAGATATGAAGTCCATTCATTCAATATAACAAAAAAAATGGCCAACCTTTTTTTTTTTTTTAAATAAAGAACTGTTGAATTTTTTTTTTTTTTTTTTTTATTATTTAAATCTTTTTACAAATTAATAGGATGGGCTTCAAATGTCATGTAAATATAAATGAAATAATACTATATTAATAATGGTTTAATAATGTAAGAGTAAACAGTATTTCTGTCTGCTGCTGAACAACAAAATTACCAAAAGCCCAACAAACTGAGTGAACCGTATTTTATGGTTGCCACCAGCTCCCAGAAGCCCTCCCTTTTCCCAGAACAAACAACCAGAGTCTCTACTCTCTAAAATGCCTCCAAATCTGAGTCTATTCATCTTTTTTCTCTTCTTAACCTTCACTTCAATGGGCTCACCGGGTCTGGCCATTGGTGTGAACTGGGGCACCACAGCCTCTCACCCAGTCCCACCTCCCAAGGTGGTGGAGCTCTTGAAGTCTAATAACATCACTAAAGTTAAGCTCTTTGATGCTGACCCACTTGTTCTTCAAGCACTCTCCGGCTCCAACATTGCTGTCACTGTAGCCATCTCCAATTCTATGCTGAAAAGCTTGAATTCTTCCAAGAAAGCTGCCGAAAGTTGGGTCCATGATAATGTCACCAGATACATTTCTTCTGGTGGTGGCTCTAGAGTGAAAATTGAGTATGTTAATATGCTTTTGTTGCTTTTATGGTTTTTTAATATTGTTAACATGTTTCTGGATTCTTTTTAAATTTTTTGTTTTGTTTCAATTTCTATGTTTCTATTTGTGGAAGCTGTTCTCGTCATTCTGCAAGTGCTGTTAGACAATTTTTATTTTTTTATTTTTTTTAATGTTAGGGTTTTGGAGGAAAACTTTGGTGGCTGCTAATTAAATGGTGTGATAAAAGTTTGGTCTTTACTATATGCAATGTGTCTGTTTGTGTTGTTGGCTTCAGGTTTAATTTGGGCACCTTACTGAACCACTGTCTTAACTATTTCCTTACTGAAATGCATTAATCAGCTAACCAAGAAAGAGGACTACAGAGAAATCTAATGTTCTCAATTTGGAACTTTCCTTCTCTCTCTCTCTCTCTCTTTTCTTTTTGGATATATTCAAAGCATAAAATAATAGATTTTATACACCATTGAAGATCCAAAGTATTCTATCAAATATCTTATTGGTTCACCCCTATGTTCTTCTGGATCATTATCCTGCAGTGCCCGAAGACCATATGCACTTTCTTGTAGCTTAAATGTGTTAAGAGTTGGACTGAGGAAATTAAATTAGTTAATGAATATTCGCCTGGCATCTGGTATTACTGCCCCTGCTGTAATCAAATTTCCTGAATAAAGAAAAGATAGAGTTATGGTTCTGTTTAAGAATCAGCCACATGAGTTGATATCATATCATAAAGACAGTATTAATGGGTTTGATTGAAGGGGCTTAGGAATGTCAGGAGCTGCCTAAAGTGTTCAATATTAGGAACTTCAGGAGCTGCAACCCTTTGGTTATACATGCCACAAATTGGTTCATCATGCTGTAGCATATAAACCTGCTTTTATAGATCTTGGTATGGTGTCCCTTTGTGAGGTTAGGTTGATCTACTTGAGCCATTTCCTCATACATAAGCTTACCTTTGTAGGACGAACTTTGTGTTAACTGCATTCAGATGACTACAAGAGGGTCCCCGAAATTACCTTAGCCCTTGTTACTATTGTTATATATAGGTTTTGGTTCAACTTAGTTGTGCTCCACTTTGAGAGTAAAAATCCCATGAAAGAGATTGCATTTGTGCTTCATTACTTGTATTCATCTCAGTGGATTATTGAAATATATTTCTATTTTTAGACTTAAAGGGAAAAATGGGTTTCTAGCAAACAACTTTATGACAGAGGACAGTTGAGAAGGGGTGGAAAGAGCCTCCCTTATGATCTGGTTTAGTTTGCAATACAAATAAAGAGATAAAACATAGAAATGAGATTTTTAGGAGACTTCATTTAACACTACAGTAACTAAAAATAATTATTTTCTTAATGTGATATTGTCAGAGGAAAATTCTGATTTTGCATCAGAGTATTGCTTCACTTTTTACATATTACTGACTCTTTACAGGTATGTTGCTGTCGGAGATGATCCATTTCTCCTAAGCTATGGTGAGCAGTACCATCCATTTGTTATTGGAGCAGCAATTAACATTCAAGCAGCCTTAAGCAGAGCAGGCTTGGCTAGTGATGTGAAAGTGGTGGTTCCATGCAGTTTTGATTCCTTCCAGTCAGAATCTGGCCTGCCATCAAAAGGACACTTCAGACCTGAACTAAACAAAACCATGGTCGAACTCCTTACATTTCTTAGCAAGCGTCACTCTCCTTTCTTTGTGACCATCTCACCATTTTTAAGTTTCCACCAAAACAAGAATATTTCTCTTGACTTTGCTCTCTTCAAAGGAACTGCACACCCTCGTAATGATAGTCACAAAACATACAAAAACAGTTTTGACTTAAGCTATGACACCCTAGTTACTGCATTATCAACAGTTGGTTTTCCAGAAATGGATATTGTTGTAGTGCAGATTGGTTGGCCGACAGATGGAACAGCAAATGCAACTGCATCTACCGCAGAGACCTTCATGAAAGGCTTGCTGGATCACCTTCACAGCAGAGTGGGGACTCCACTTAGACCTCGGAATCCACCTATAGAAGTATACATTTTTAGTCTTTTAGATGAGGATCAAAGAAGCATAGCCACTGGAAATTTTGAGAGGCATTGGGGTGTGTTCACTTTTGATGGCCAAGCCAAATACCATTTTAATTTTGGCCAGAATGCAAAAAAGCTTGTGAATGCACAAAATGTTGAGTACCTTCCTACGAGGTGGTGTGTTGCAAACAATAATAAAGACTTGTCTAATGCAACAGCAAGGGCTTTGGAGGCATGTTCTGCTGCTGATTGCTCTGCACTATCTCTTGGTGGATCTTGCTACAATATCAGCTGGCCCCAGAACATATCATATGCATTTAATAGCTACTATCAGCAGCATGATCAAACGCCTAATAGCTGTGATTTTGGTGGGTTAGGTTTGATCACCACTGTCGATCCATCAGTGGATAATTGCAGATTTCCTATTGAACTTCGCACTTCTCATTCTTCTTCTCTTCTCGGACCCCATTTTTGCCTGTGCATGATACTGCTAACACTCAATACTTTTGCCATTTTATTCAGTTTTGCCGGTTAGAAAAACATCTGCAGCCATTTTTGCAGCTCTTAATCAGCCCCAGTTCTGTGGTTATGGATATTTGTTGTTGTACAAGGTTTCAACTTGATTAAAACCTTCATTGTGGATTTAAAGTTGGAAAAGAGGGAGGTAATTACTAAGAGGTCCCATTTTTGTAATTTGGAGGTTAGGATCTTTGCCCATTGTCATTATTTCTATTCAGAAATGAAAGAGTACTTGATTGAAAGTTTTTTCCCAGTACCATTACACTACCATCTTCATTTGGTGTTGTGATGTTAAAATTGGAGATGTGTATGTTAGAGTTCATAACACAGCAGCTGTTTTCTTTATGTTAGTATTTGGTCACCTCTCATGGGCATATGTTAAATTGAAAATGAATGTTTTGACAGTCAGTTATGACATGGTAGTTAGAAATAGTATAAATTGAAAGTTGGTTGGATTTAAGATAGTTTTAAGGAAGCCAAGTTTGATGCAAAGCTTATAAATCAGTTGATTTTTTTTTTTTTTTTTACTCGGGGTGTTTGGACCAATTTATGCGTAACTTAACTAATTCCTGAAGTCCTAAAGTTAATGATTAAGTAAATCCTTCAATGGTCACCCTATTAACAATCGAGGGGAATCAAATTTAAGATCTCTTGAATAATACACTTAAGAGTCTCTATTGTCCCACCTGATCATCCAAGAGTGGTTTAAATCAATTGATATTTCCGATTAAACAAAATTACCCACTTCACTAGTTAGCATTTATTAAAGGTTTTAATCAATTGGTGATATTGAATCCCAAAATAACACTAAAAAACACATCTTTAAGTTGAGTAAGTTGATTATTAGAAAAAGAATAATATTATACCAATAATCCTTTCTCATAATCCTAATATGATAGTTCATAATTGATTAGCTCACGTGATTCCTGTATGAACTTTACTAATTAACTGAACAATTATAAACTTCAAGAAAGTTTGTAAAAAATGAAACGGTCTCTTTACCAAAAAAAAACATCCTTTTTTTGCGCTGCCCTCTCCGTAACAAACAGGTCACAACCTAGAGTCAATCGGACAGTGTGAATCAACTACAATTCCAAGTAGAAGATCCAACGGTTAACCTAGACCACACGCGTACAAATTATACACGTCACTACAGACACATGTGACAGTTTTTAATTTTTTGGTCGAGGCTCGTAGAAAGATCTTTTGTCGACTCGGCCGATATATAAGTGATTAGCCATTACTCGATTACCCAAAAACCTAATCTTTTTTTCTCTCTCTCTCTTGTATTTTGAATAAGCTAAGTCTAAAGTGAAACCCTAGATCGTCATGTCTGGCATGTACAATCAAGACGGCGGGGATCCTGCCTACGGCGGGGGTTATGGAGGCGGCGGAGGCGGAGCTGGTGGTTACGGAGGTTATGGAGGCGATAGTGGTGGAGGATACGGTGGCGCTCGTGGTGGTGGGGGATATGGTGGTGGACGAGGCGGCGGACGAGGAGGAGGTGGTGGAGGAGGAGGATACGGTGGTCCTTCGCAAAATCGAGGTGCCTGGCTTTTTTGTGCTTCTTTTATGGTGTTTAGTGGATTTATTTGCTTTAAAAAGAATATTTTGTTTATTTACTGGTGTTCTTTTGATCTTTGTTTAAAGGAGGGGATCGTAGTGGAAGAGGAGGAGGTGGCAGAGGAGGCGGAGGCCGTGGTGGAGGCGGCAGAGACGGGGACTGGAAGTGCCCTAATCCTAGGTGATTATTTTCTGTCTGTTGTATTTGATATGATCTTCTTTGTTATATTAGGGTTGATTATATGTTGATTCGAACGGTTCATAATTCAATTAACTTATTTGTGATAAAAGTAAAACAATTTAGTTCAGCCAAATTCTGTTGTTTGGGATGATAATTTTAGTTGGTTAAAATAATGTGCAAGAATGATAATGTTTAAAAAAAAAAAAAAAAAAAAAACGAAGATCAGGTTGTAAGAGAGTCTTAATGCTCAGAAGGTAACTTAACTGCTTCAATCCAAAGTCTGACCTCAGAGAAGTGTATCATGCTCTTAGTAAAATAATACACTTGATTTATTCTTCATTTTAAGGTTTTTAAACACATTGTACGGTTTGACTTTGTGGCTGGAATGTTCGGTGAAGCTTTTATCTCTGTTAGATGTTTAACTTTCAGTTTATTGGGGTATCTTTTTCTGATTTCTTAATTGTTACATACACGGGTGAAATATGTGATTGAAACTGGCATATTTCTATGTAGCTGTGGGAATTTGAACTTTGCCAGAAGGGTTGAGTGTAACAAATGTGGTGCACCCTCACCTGCGGGTACAGGTGATCGCAGTGGCAATGGCAGTGGTGGTGGTGGTGGTTATAACAGAGGAGGAAACAGTGGTGGATATGGTGGTAATCGAGGTGGTAGAGGTGATGGTGGTCGAAGTGGCAATTATGAAGGTAGAGGCGGTAATTATGAAGGTAGAAATGGGGCCAATAGAGGTGGTTCATATGGTGCTAATCCGGGAAGAGAAGATAGCGGTTATGGTCAGGTCCCTGCACCTGCTCCCGCATCTTATGGTGGTGCTGCTGGAAATTATCCTGCACCTAATTCTTATGGTGGGAATGCAAATTATGGGATGGAGGCAGTTCCTCCACCGACTAGCTACACTGGTGGACCTGCCTCATATCCCCCATCCTATGGTGGCCCTGCAGGTGGTTATGGTGGTGATGGTTTCAGTGATGCAAGGGGTGGTGGACGGGGTGGCCCACCTGGTGGATATGATGGTGGGTATGCTGCTGGTGGTCCTCGACATCAGGGAGGTGGAGGTGGTTATGGTGGTAGTGGTAGTGGTCCTGCTGATACCACAGCTAAGGTCAAGCAGTGTGATGGCGACTGTGATAGTTATTGTGACAACTCAAGGATATACATATCAAATCTGCCGCCAGATGTGACTGTTGAAGAATTGAGAGAACTTTTTGGAGGCATTGGAACAGTAATACCTAAATCTTTTCTTTTGATGTTCAAAGTGCTTGTAAAATTATATTTATTTGATTTCATAATTAGGTGTTGTTTTAGATGAATGTTCCAATTTATTGCAATTATTTTTCTAATTGGTTCTTTTGCAGGTAGAGTTTTTCTATTTCTTTATTATAATTGTTTCTTATGGTGTTGTTTAGTTCATTTTGTGTAATTTTAATGAGGTGGAAATTAGTTGACTTTTTTTTTTTTTAACTAAAAAATCCATTCATTGTAATTTAAGAAGCAAGGTGGTTTAGTTGACTGTGATGTGTTAATTGTTTGCTAGAATGTCCATTTAGATCATGTAGTCCATTGTGTTGGTCTGCTGTTTGACTGCTAGTGTACCTACTTTACCTCTGCTGATTAACAGCTAGTGTACCTATTTCTCCCGATTGTTAAGGATGATGGAAGTTAATTCTTTTGGTTGAGTTTTTTACTGTATTATTGAGTATATGATAGCTGTTTTCTGGGTGAGATGTTCATTTTCTGTTCTCTTTAGAATGATGTGTGTGATGTTATGTCATATGTGGTGATAGAATGGGATGTAACATTGCCTTTTTTTATTGTGAATTAGGTTGGAAGAATCAAGCAGAAGCGAGGCTACAAAGATCAATGGCCATGGAATATAAAGATATACACGGATGAGAAAGGAAACAACAAAGGTGATGCAGTTTTGTCCTATGAAGATCCAGCTGCTGCACATGCTGCAGGTGGATTTTTTCAAGGTATTTAAAGATTGTTTTTTGATTTTTTGGTATGATATCAAAAAACTTATACTCAGTACATATGATTTTTTTATTTTTTTTTTCAGATCATGAACTGAGAGGTCATAAAATTAGTGTCGTGATGGCAGAGAAGACTGCTCTAAGACATGACCATGGGTATCCCTNAAGATCAATGGCCATGGAATATAAAGATATACACGGATGAGAAAGGAAACAACAAAGGTGATGCAGTTTTGTCCTATGAAGATCCAGCTGCTGCACATGCTGCAGGTGGATTTTTTCAAGGTATTTAAAGATTGTTTTTTGATTTTTTGGTATGATATCAAAAAACTTCTACTCAGTACATCTGATTTTTTTATTTTTTTTTTCAGATCATGAACTGAGAGGTCATAAAATTAGTGTCGTGATGGCAGAGAAGACTGCTCTAAGACATGACCATGGGTATCTCTGCAAACATTTCCTTTGTACTTTAAATTTTAGATTGTCAATGTTGTCTTTTAACTAAATTTATGTTTGCAGTATTTATCGTTAGCCATTGATAGTGCAATGCTCCATTGACATGTCATTCTCGTTTTGCTTTTTCCATTTTCATAGATATTGCTATATCTTATCTTTATCTCATGTTGATTGACCTTGTAGCTGTTGTAGACTTGTATACTCTCTGGTCTTTATATGACATAACTTTGTCTCATCCTTTGTTCTTCTTTGTGATATGTAAATCATTTGATCTCTCTATCAAAGCTAAGTTATATTAACATTTTGTAGTTATGTGGGTTCCCAGAAGACACATAATTTTGTATTCTGTAATACTTTTAGCCAACATAACACTTTCTTAAATAATTTTGACTGAGCTGGAGCTTTCTAGTTCATAGAGTGGAGGAACTTTCAATTAGTCAAAATAATTTTTTTTTATCCTAATTCTTTTTCTTGGACTTAATTTCAGCATAGATGTGATCAAGATTTTTGACTCCCTTGTTTTCTGTATCTGCTTTTGGCATCTTTTGAATTATTATGCTTGTGTTGGAATTAATAAATATAAAGGATTGAGACTCTTTGGACTTTATTGCTTTGTTTTACTTTTTGTCCATTCTTGGGAGTGATGCAACTTACTTAGTGCTCTTGCAGCAGTGGTGGTGGTGGTAGAGGTGGCTATGGCAATGGTGGAGACAGGCGCAACAACTACAGAGATGGTGGAGGTTCAGGGCCAGATAGACATTACCATGGGGGAAACCGTTCTCGTCCGTACTGAGAGAATTTCAGCTCTGAGCATTTTATGTACTAAAAATAGTGGTCTGAGGGATTTTAATAATGTTCCATTCACGAGGTTGTTCTTTAACTGGAGACTAAGAGGTAGGTTGTTCACTTGCCCTGGACACTGCCCCTTTTTCTCCTTTTATCATTTATCTGCTACTACTTGGAGGGGTTTATATTCTAGGCTTGGGATTGTTTTAACTGTGTGAATGTTTTTATAGAGGCAAATGGATAATCAAATTGCTTGCTGCTAAGGTAGGTTGATATTTTCAGGTGAGTGCTACTCTTTCAAATCACTTGTTTGCAAATTAACTCTGCACTGTAGTGCATTTTGTAGATTTTGCTCGCTTGTCAGCCAGATCATGTGGCATTGATACAAGTGGTGTAAATGCTCAGTATAAACATGCATGTTCTGGTTTAATCGGTTTTACAAATTCTGAATTGGGAGATTATTTTGAGGCGAGGCCATCCCCACTTAGTTCTGGCAATAGCAGCTCACATTTATTATATATGCAAAAATATATTCTTCCCACCCCCTCAGTCCAGGGTCTGGTTGAACAAAGTAATATGCTGTTCGTGAGAAACAGTTGTCATCAGATAATTTTAAATTGTACTATGAAATCCACATATTTTTAAAGTTATATAGAATTTTTGATGCTATTTATCATGGTCCTCAGTCTTGTGGAGTGGCAATTTCCAGAGAGTTTGATGATAGGTCTAGACTCTTTTAAGATTTGAAAATATTGCAAATGGGGTTGTAATGTCAGTGACTGGGTTTCATCAAATGTATGATAAAAAAACTGTGGCAAATATGGCTGGTTAAGAAAAACGGATATTATGGTTGCTGCTCCATTGCTGTACGGGGAGTGAGTTTGCATAAGGAAAGATTTAGCATAGCTGCGTAGAGCTGCTTCACTTTTGTGGTAATGGGGGCATTTTCAGTCGTATGGTTAAGGATGTAGTGACCTGGAGGCAAATGGAATGGCCGTTGTGTCCAGATGTCGCAGTACATGGTGAAGCTTCCATGGGCTTGTGCTCCACAGTTGCAGGGTAGTATTCCAAATTTGTCAGTTGTGGCATTCATGTCTGATACCTAAATGTAATTTGTTTTCTCTCATGGGTGTTGTAGTACAACTCTTTGGGATTCCATCCAATTCTTTCGGGGTTTATTTTTTATTTTAGATTTTAAATTATAGATAGAATAGGCCAATAGGGAAAGAAAGGAGAGAGGAAAAAGATTGGATAAACATGGGCTATATTTCACTTTATCATCAAAAATTGACGGTAAGCGGCTTCATATCAAAGCATACCTAAAAGAAAATATTAACAATTATTGCAACTTTGCAAGTCCTTAAGTTTTGTTACGTCACGACCTACGTGAGCTTCATCCTAAAACCTTAATTATGAATACAGAGCGTATGAATATGGAGCAAATTAAACGATAGACCATTTGTGTTCTTTTGGAACTCGTGAGGTAGTATTGTTTTTAATATGCCAACGCTGGCTGGACTGGAGCACTTAAAATAAAATCCAATATTGAAATTTGGCTAGAGTGTTCAAAGAGTAATGTTGTCCATCTTAAATATTATTATTTTGCGAGATTAATCTGTAAGAAATTTGGGAAACATGTGTTGTGCAACATCATTATTATAAATTTTCTTTTACAATTTTGACATGATAATTTATAATTGATCAACTCGTAAATGGAAAAGTAATATTCATAACGAACAGATATGGTTTATTTGTGAATTGATCAATTGCGAGTTGTCTTGTTGAGATTGTGAGAAAAAATTTGTGGTATTAAGTTGTAAGTATAGTAATACACTTCTATTGTATATAGGGATTAGGGATTGAACTTTGGACCCATAGAAGATATGAAAGCTACCCAAAACCAAAAGAAAACCTTTTAAATATACAAAACTGGGATTACATAAAATATCATGATATAAAATAATATGACATATTGTTTCCAATTTCTAAGTTTATCTTTTATAGTTTTTTAATACGACATTTCGCTCCTTTCTTCCATCTCTTCATATAACAGATCCTAACGTTATAACTAAAACGTACAAAAATCTATCATATATATGTAATTATGTATATATAAATTCAAATCAGGAGTCTACCCGCCAATTTCTTCATAAAATGCTACCGCGAGTTCGTTCATCAATCTCCTTTTTTCGCTCTCAAATTAATAACAGAAGGTTCACTATCTGTATTACTTCCTCAATTAATCGTCTCGTTTTCACCAATCTCTCAAATTCTTTCTTCTTTATTTTGGCAGATTTGGATGCGGAACCATTCAAATTCTCCAATCGTTGCTCTGTAGACGTGAAATCGTTAATTGAAGTGCGATCGAGTTTGAGAGAGTTTCTAAATCCGAGTCGATCTCATTATTCGCGAAATTGCGGAGAAAACTCTTGAGCAGAAGCTTTTGATTCTCGAGTTCTTCGTTCGTGCTTTCGCTGTTACAGGCGATAACGAGGTATAGTACAATTTTTGTTAGCAACTTTTATTTTTATTAATCACTTTGAATCACATTTTTGTACGCTTAATTATGGTTCACAGAGTTGTTTGGCTCTAAGATATGAGGCCTTGTTATGCGTGATCTCAAGTGTACAAGTTGCAATTGGCTTCAAGTTTCATATACGAATGGCTGAACTTAGCTGAGCACTCCCTAGAGAATGGCTTTCATGCTATTGCTATAAAGGTAGAATCCTTTCATATATGCTATTGCTTTTAAGTTTCATTCATGATGATGATACAGATAACGGACTCTTTTAGTTGTTCAATTGCGGATTACATAACACATGAAGACAGCATATTTAAATATGAATATCTCTTAGCACTTGTGATAAATTTTTTTTTTTTTTTTTTTTTTTTTTTTTTTTTTTTTTTTTTTTTTTAAATTAGGTGCATTCTATTTTTTGTATGGCTAATTGAATTTACTGAGTGAAATATTTTCAGGTGTTACTTTATATGGCCATTGATTTTTTTTTCTTTTTTTTTTCGGTTGTTTATATGTTCCAGTTGAACTCATCTCCTGACCGTGCTTGAAGCTCTAGTCCTTGCAAGTGTCTTTGAATAAATTATAATGATAAAGAACATATATTCTTCCTAATCAATTTCAATGTTATCCAGTCTTGTTGAGTTAGTTATAGAAAATTTCATTTTGGTTGTAAATCTTGTATTTGACTTTTCAAGGACTTGCATTGTACTCCTCTTTCAACCCTAGCCTTTATTTTTTACTTTTGCTTGTGTAGCGTGTGAAAATGCACAATCATGTCTCCAGAGAATGATTTGTGGATCTAAACACAGATAAATGTTTGGTATGTGCAAGCTACTGAAAAAACGAAGAGACTCAAAGATTGTGCCGTGACATCGGTAGCTTCACTTTCTGGTATGCCTATATGTTGTGCCAATTTCTAGATTCATGGCACGATTCATCGACAGTTTTCGCCCTGCTATCTGTTATGCTGGACGTAAAAAAGGACAATATGTTGGTCAACTTTATATTTTAGTTAAAAAGTATCAGTTGATTACAAATTGAACAACAGTGAATTCTTCAATTTTAGTCATGTATTCTGCATATTAAACAGATGTAACTGTTTGTGTGCCATGGATGGATTTGAAACCTGATGATTAATGGACCTTTTCTGTCTAGAGGTCCTAATTTTTTTTTTTTTCAGAACAACATTTTAATTTATTATGCAAGTTGTTCCAGTGTCTAGCCTACTTTTTTTTAAATTGGTTATATTCTTCATCTCATAAATATAATCAATGAAGAACTCAAGTAAAGTACTAGTATTCTGTAGAAGGTTGTGATGTCTATTCAGATAACCTAGGGCCGATATTTAACAACTGAAGGAGAACTTGCAGTGAAAAGTCTATATATAATTAAACCTTTATGTACTTTTATCGGCTGTAACAAGTTTGCTTATCAGTATCTTTTTTTCTTGGTGACTAATCTTTTGTGATCAAGATTTTTATTGAACTCTTGTGACTTGTATTTGAGATGTGATGCTGTGATTTGACATTGAAAATTCTGTTCGATCATATCAGTTCAGGCACGGGCAACAGAGTACTTGAAAAAGAAAACAATTGGGAACCGCACAAAGCATTCTTCATATTGTAAAGGAACCAAGCCTGCGGCAAGCACTCTGTTTAGAAACGGAATTAAAAGGCAAAATGTGAAAAAGTTGCTTGAATTTCAAGGCTTGCAGCAGATTACAGGTGGCTCAGACTCCATTCAACTTTGAGGTCATTGCCAAGTTTCCTTATGTGCATTGAAGTTTATTTCATAAGCTAGATCATGTGACTGGATTTATCCAAAAAAGAAAAACCTTATGACTGGATAAGCATTGCATGTTAACCTTTGATGCAAGTTTCATGCTTTGTAGGCGGTCTAACTTTGAAATCGTAAGAGTTTAGTATTTTGTTAGGCATGTTACACCCTATTGGATGGGTTATAAAGATGATCATTGGCATATATCTTGACTTGACTTCTTAGACACTATTTATATTTTATCATGCTTATATCTTAACATGCCAAAGAACAATAACTCATGCTAGCTTCTTTATCCCAAATTTTTTTGGATGCTTGGCTGAGATTATGGAAGGATAACTTTAAGCTGCCGAGTAAGTAATAGCTTCATCAGTCTGTTCAAAACAGCATCAAACTATATCCATAAACATCCTATCAGGTTAAAGTTTCAGTTATGTATAGGCTTTTTCTTTTAGGACTAGCATCATTAAGGATAAATTTAGGCAGAAATGAAGGAAAAGAAAAACAAAGGGTTCAGGGATTCAGGCTATGTAGACAACATTTTGTTGGTACTCTTTTAAGTTAGCTAATAGAAAAATTAGATAATTTCCATATTAAAGTGATAGATGGTCACACATGGACTCATAGTGGTCAAGTTTGCTTTCTCTATATATATATTTCTGATTTTGGGACTATGATTATTTTATAATCCATATTGATTTGATCATTTGGTTTACAATATTTCTTAGATGGAGTTGATAGTGGAGATTCGCATTTTGAATAAATAGAAATATAAATGTATAAAAAGTTGGCGTTGGAAATCCAACACTGGTCAGTTGAAGCAATTGAAATTGAGGTCAGTAGGGCACTTGAGCCCCCCACTTGGGTAGGTTTGTATTGTCAAACATTGCCTTCTAATTTTGTAAACTCCACCGCTCTTTAGATTTGAAAACCATGCCTGCAGATTTCAATAACCGAATCTTCCATTTCACCAAAGCTCATTTAATGTTGGCATCGAACCTCGCATGTCTTATTTTCCTCTAACATGGTGAAAGATGTCTGTTTTTTCTGTACTTTATTCATTTGCTTAAAAAAATCAGCTTAGTTTCCATAGTTGCAAGGTTAGGGGTTTGAATTCAAGCTTGGAAGTTAAAATGTAAAATACGCGGTTTCTGAGATAATGGTAATAATAACAAATTCAATAGGTGTCATGGTTTTATAAAATTATTAGTAATTAATTAGTGGAGAAATGAGATAAGAATCTAGGTAGCTACCAGAGAAAACATAAACTTTGTGTATAAGACAAAGAGAATATATAAATTAAAAGATAAATAGAATACATATGGTATGACAACTAGGAAAACAGAGCTGTTTTCCTCGGAATAGAAGATTAGAAGCTTGGAATCATGTGGAGTGCATTTAATTCTAGAGTGAGAATGGGTCTTCGGGTTCTAAAAACTCTTCTATTTTTTTACATTTTCAATCTCTCTCGAAATGGGTTGATTTCCTTTTAATATTTGTTAATCCTTAGCCCCATGTCGGATCTCGTTAACTGGTTGTTCACATTCATTATTCATTATTCATATATATATCTTTATAACTAGCTTGCTTCTTTACAAATTTACAATTCTTTATATATCAATCTTATACATTGATCATCATCATCATTAACTCATCTCTTCTTTGTAGTTGAAGTTGATCTCCGATAATTTTTTTTGGCTGCATTGCATTTAATTGATTATGGAACTCATTATCTCTCATATTTGTGTATAGTTGAAGTTGATCACATATGGTAGCGTGCATGAAGCATCGAAGTTGGTAATTTAGATGCCTTTTGCAGCATGAATTATTAATAATTTGATTGCCATTTGAAAGTACTGAGGATCATTAATTGAGCATTGATTAACGATACATTAATTAATGTGTTATTGCATTTAATTTTTAAGTTCATCAAATTAAGAGAGAAAAAGAGTTATGTATGTTGTTTCCATGTGAATGTTCACCAACAAACATTCACGTTGGTTGAGCCCATTTCTCATGGAGTCTCGGTCCTGTTTCTGCCTAATCTAGGCTTAAATTTTCACATCTCTAGTTGTAATTAGTGAAAACCATAGTCTTAATTACACACCATTTTCATATTAATTGTAGTTTGATTTGGGTTTTTAAGACTTTTCTTGTTTATTAATAGTCAAACCAGTGGAAATTACAAAAAGTTGTATGGATGACAACTATCACGCGCCTAGGCGGTGGTCAACTCCTCCATCACCTCTTTCATAAGATCTATTAATCTATTACTAATAAGAAAAGTTACTTTCTTGCCCTTGATCGTATTATGGAAGATCGGTTCTCAACATGGTTAGAATTGTCAAAAGGGTACCAGAACTACATGTACATGACTGTTTCTTTCCGCATTCAGCAGTATTTAATTCCCATTGTTTAATTATGATCATAATCTTTAATTATTATTTAATTAAACATGCATGTGGATCCATTCTACACTACGAAATAGAATATGTAGTAATGGCAAACCTCCTCAACCATTATAAATACGCAATTCAAGCTCATTTCTCTTCAACTATAAGCTTCTTGTTTTTACATATAAGACTAGGACTCTTACGTTTTACATAATCCGATCAAAGAGCTAATAGCTAGAGACAATCTTTCATCTTTCGTTTCAGCCAGATGGGAGGTTCTTCACCATGCGCGTCCTGCAAATTATTAAGGCGCCGCTGCGCCAAGGACTGCATCTTTGCCCCTTACTTTCCTTCTGATGACCCTCAAAAGTTTGCTATGGTTCACAAGGTCTTCGGTGCTAGCAACGTCAGCAAAATGTTGCAGGTACGTGTTTATATATATATAGTCAATCTGTCATATTTAGGCAGCTAAATAATGATGGGGATGGTTTTGTTGTTAATCTGGCGTGCAGGAGCTTCCAGTTCACCAGAGAGCGGATGCTGTGAGCAGTTTGGTTTATGAAGCAAATGCAAGAGTAAGAGACCCAGTTTATGGATGTGTTGGTGCAATATCTTATCTACAAAGCCAAGTATCACAGTTGCAAATGCAGCTGGCGGTGGCTCAAACAGAAATACTTTGCATTCAGATGCACCAAGAGCCAAATAATACCTTACAAACGACGTCGTCTCAATCCCAAATAGACGACGTCCAAGATGACAAATCACTTCTTCTATCATGTAATAACTTCAATACCATTCCTCAGTACCTTGGCTTTGCTTCATCTAGCAATGCAATCCAAGATCCTCTTAAGAGAGAGTCTCTTTGGACTTAATTAAGTTTGGTTTCTTTTAATTTCACTGTTCAATTACTTCTCTTCTTCTGTTATTGTTTAATGTATGGTTTCGTTGAGAAGTTTACAGTTTGAACATGGAATTTAAAATATGGTGGCTTTAGGTTCAAGTAGTCAACTCCTGCATGTGAGACATGGAGTAAAGTAGGGTTAACCAAAGCCCTCTCTTTTCTTATCAAGACGTAAGGTTTTATGACTCATAGCTTAAAATAATAAGCCCTTGTCAATTAGTTAATTTCTCTCCTGTGGATGGATTCATATACAACTCCAGCTTCTGCTGCTTCTCCATCCTCTTAACCTTTAACCTTCAAAATTTGCTGGATCATATTTGGGGTATCTTAATGGCATAATATTGGAATATTACAGATAAAGTCCATTAATTCTGTGTTCCAATTCGATACAGCCTTCACCTTGAGAATAATAGCGTGTTGTGTTGCCATGTTCACGTGAGGGGTTACAATAAATTAACAAGTGCTGTGTTTTTTTTTTTTTTAAATTAGGATGCATTCTATTTTTTTATGGCTAATTGAATTTACTGAGTGAAATATTTTCAGGTGTTAACTTATATGGCCATTGATTTTTTTTCTTTTTTTTTCGGTTGTTTATTGTTCCAATTGAACTCATCTCCTGAACCGTGCTTGAAGCTCTAGTCCAGTGCAAGTCTCTTGAATAAATTATAATGATAAGAACACTATTCTTCCTAATCATTTCAATGTTATCCGTCTGTTTGATTTAGTTATAGAAAATTTCATGTTGGTTGTAAATCTTGTATTTGACTTTTCAAGGACTTGCTATTGTACTCCTCTTTCAACCCTAGCCTTTATTTTTTTTTTGCTTGTGTAGGCGTGTGAAAATGCACAATCATGTCTCCAGAGGAATGATATTGTGGATCTAAACACAGATGAATGTTTGAGTATGTGCAAGCTACTGAAAAACGAAGAGACCAAAGATTGTGCCGGTGACATCGGTAGCTTCACTTTCTGGTATGCCTTATATGTTGTGCCAATTTCTTAAGATTCATGGCACGATTCATCGACAGTTTCGCCCTGCTACTGTTATGCTGGAACGTAAAAGGACATATTATGTTGGTCAACTTTATATTTTAGTTAAAAAGTATCAGTTGATTACAAATTGACACCAGTGAATTTCTTCAATTTTAATTCATGTTCTGCATATTAAACAGATGTTGTTTTGTGGCCAACTGGATGGATTTGGAACCTGATGTTGAATGGACCTTTTCTGTCAAGAGGTCCTAATTTTTTTTTTTTCAGAACAACATTATTAATTTATTATGCAAGTTGTCCAGTGTCTAGCCTACTTTTTTAAATATGGTTATTATTCTTCATCTCATAAATAATAATCACATAGACTCAGTAAAGTACTAGTATTCTGTAGAAGGTTGTGATGTCTAATCAGATAACCTATGGCCGATATTTAACAACTGAAAGAGAAAACTTGCAGTGAAAAGTCTATATATAATTAAACCTTTATGTACTTTTATCGGCTGTAACAGTTTGCTTATCAGTATCTTTTTTCTTGGTGACTAATCTTTTGTGATCAAGATTTTTATTGAACTCTTGTGACTTGTATTTGAGATGTGATGCTGTGATTTGACATTGAAAATTCTGTTCGATCATATCAGTTCAGGCACGGGCACAGAGTACTTGAAAAGAAAACATTGGGAACCGCACAAGCTTCTTCATATTGTAAAGGACCAAGCCTGCGCAAGCACCTGTTCAGAAACGGAATTAAAGGCAAAATGTGAAAAATTTGCTTAATTTCAAGGCTTGCAGCAGATTACAGGTGGCTCAACTCCATTCAACTTTGAGGTCATTGCCAAGTTTCCTTATGTCATTGAAGTTTTTTTCATAAGCTAGATCATGTGACTGATTTCCAAAAAAGAAAACCTTATGACTGATAAGCGTTGCATGTTAACCTTTGTGCAAGTTTCATGCTTTGTAGGCGGTCTAACTTTGAAATCGTAAGAGTTTAGTATTTTGTTAGGCATGTTACACCCATGGGATGGTTATAAAGATGATCATGGCATATATCTGACTTGACTTCTTAGACACTATTTATATTTTATCATGCTTATATCTTAACATGCCGAAGAACAATAACTCATGCTAGCTTCGTTATCCCAAATTTTTTGGATGCTTGACTGAGATTTGAAGGATAACTTTAAGCTGCCGAATAAGTAATAGCTGCATCAATCTGATCAAAACAAATCAAACTATATCCATAAACATCCTATCAGGTTAAAGTTTCAGTTATGTATAGGCTTTTTCTTTTAGGACTAGCATCATAAGGATAAATTTAGGCAGAATGAAGGAAAAGAAAAACAAAGGGTTCAGGGATTCAGGCTATGTAGACAACATTTTGTTGGTATCTTTTAAGTTAGCTAATAAAAATTAGATATTCCATATTAAAGTGATAGATGGTCACACTAGACATAGTGGTCAAGGTTGCTTTCTCAATATATATATTTCTGATTTGGGACTATGATATTTTATAATCCATATGATTTGATCATGTGGTTTACAATATTTCTTAGATGGAGTTGATAGTGGAGATTCGCATTTTGAATAATAGAAATATAATGTATAAAAAGTTGGCGTTGGAAATCCAACACTGGTCAGTTGAAGCAATTGAATTGAGGTCTAGGGCACTTGAGCCCCCCACTTGGGTAGGTTTGTATTGTCAAACATTGCCTTCTAATTTTGTAAACCCACCGCTCTTTAGATTTGAAAACCATGCCTGCAGATTTCAATAATCGAATCTTCCATTTCACCAAAGCTCATTTAATGTTGGCATCGACCTCGCATGTCTTATTTTCCTCTAACATGGTGAAAGATGTCGTTTTTTTCTGTACTTTATTCATTCGCTTAAAAAAATCAGCTTAGTTTCCATAGTTGCAAGGTAGGGGTTTGAATTCAAGCTTGGAAGTTAAAATGTAAAATACGCGGTTTCTGAGATAATGGTAATAATAACAAATTCAATAGGTGTCATGGTTTTATAAAATTATTAGTAATTATTAGTGAGAAATGAGATAAAATCTAGGTAGCTACCAGAGAAACATAAACTTTTTTGTCTAATAAAACCTTAATTATGAATACAGAGCGTATGAATATGGAGCAAATTAAACGATAGACCATTTGTGTTCTTTTGGAACTCGTGAGGTAGTATTGTTTTTAATATGCCAACGCTGGCTGGACTGGAGCACTTAAAATAAAATCCAATATTGAAATTTGGCTAGAGTGTTCAAAGAGTAATGTTGTCCATCTTAAATATTATTATTTTGCGAGATTAATCTGTAAGAAATTTGGGAAACATGTGTTGTGCAACATCATTATTATAAATTTTCTTTTACAATTTTGACATGATAATTTATAATTGATCAACTCGTAAATGGAAAAGTAATATTCATAACGAACAGATATGGTTTATTTGTGAATTGATCAATTGCGAGTTGTCTTGTTGAGATTGTGAGAAAAAATTTGTGGTATTAAGTTGTAAGTATAGTAATACACTTCTATTGTATATAGGGATTAGGGATTGAACTTTGGACCCATAGAAGATATGAAAGCTACCCAAAACCAAAAGAAAACCTTTTAAATATACAAAACTGGGATTACATAAAATATCATGATATAAAATAATATGACATATTGTTTCCAATTTCTAAGTTTATCTTTTATAGTTTTTTAATACGACATTTCGCTCCTTTCTTCCATCTCTTCATATAACAGATCCTAACGTTATAACGACAAACCGTACAAAATCTTATCATATATATGTAATTATGTATATATAAATATCAAATCAGGAGTCTACCCGCCAATTTCTTCATAAAAATGTCTACCGCAGAGTTCGTTCATCAAATCTCCTTTTTTCGCTCTCAAATTAATAACAGAAGGTTCACTTATCTGTATTACTTCCTCAATTAATCGTCTCGTTTTCACCAAATCTCTCAAAATTCTTTCTTGATTTATTTTTGGCAGATTTGATGACGGAACCATTCAAATTCTCCAATCGTTGCTCGTCTGTAAGGACGTGAAATCGTTAATTGAAGTGCGATCGTGTTTGAGAGAGTTTCTAAGATCTGAGTCGATCTCTATTATTCGCGAAATTGCGGAGAAAACTCTTGAGCAGAAGCTTTTGATTCTCGAGTTCTTCGTTCGTGCTTTTGCTGTTATAGGCGATATCGAGGTATAGTGCAAATTTTTTGTTAGCAACTTTATTTTTATTATTTCAACTTTGGATCAATTTTAATCAAATGTTGTACGCTTAATTATGGTTCACAGAGTTGTTTGGCTCTAAGATATGAGGCCTTGCTTATGCGTGATCTCAAGTGTACAAGTTGCAGTTGGCTTCAAGTTTCATATACGGAATGGCTGAACTTAGCTGAGCATTCACTAGAGAATGGCTTTCATGCTATTGCTATAAAGGTAGAATCCTTTTCATATATGCTATTGCTTTTAAGTTTCATTCATGATGATGATACAGATAACGGACTCTTTTAGTTGTTCAATTGCGGATTACATAACACATGAAGACAGCATATTTAAATATGAATATCTCTTAGCACTTGTGATAATATTTTTTTTCTTTTTTTTTTTTTTTTAAATTAGGCTGCCATTCTATTTTTTGTATGGCTAATTGAATTTACTGAGTGAAATATTTTCAGGTGTTAACTTTATATGGCCATTGATTTTTTTTTCTTTTTTTTTTCGGTTGTTTATATGTTCCAAGTTGAACTCATCTCCTACCGTGCTTGAAGCTCTAGTCCAGTGCAAGGTTCTTGAATAAATTATAATGATAAAGAACTATATTCTTCCTAATCAATTTCAATGTTATCCAGTCTTGTTGAGTTAGTTATAGAAAATTTCATTTGGTTGTAAATCTTGTATTTGACTTTTCAAGGACTTGCATTGTACTCCTCTTTCAACCCTAGCCTTTATTTTTTACTTTTGCTTGTGTAGCGTGTGAAAATGCACAATCATGTCTCCAGAGAATGATTTGTGGATCTAAACACAGATGAAATGTTTGAGTATGTGCAAGCTACTGAAAAAACGAAGAGACTCAAAGATTGTGCCGTGACATCGGTAGCTTCACTTTCTGGTATGCCTATATGTTGTGCCATTTCTAGATTCATGGCACGATTCATCGACAGTTTCGCCCTGCTATCTGTTATGCTGGAACGTAAAAAAGGACAATATGTTGGTCAACTTTATATTTTAGTTAAAAAGTTATCAGTTGATTACAAATTGAACAACAGTGAATTCTTCAATTTTAGTCATGTATTCTGCATATTAAACAGATGTAACTGTTTGTGTGCCACTGGATGGATTTGAACTGATGATTAATGGACCTTTTCTGTCTAGAGGTCCTAATTTTTTTTTTTTTCAGAACAACATTTTAATTTATTATGCAAGTTGTTCCAGTGTCTAGCCTACTTTTTTTTAAATTGGTTATTATTCTTCATCTCATAAATATAATCAATGAAGAACTCAAGTAAAGGTACTAGTATTCTGTAGAAGGTTGTGATGTCTAATCAGATAACCTAGGCCGATATTTAACAACTGAAGGAGAACTTGCAGTGAAAAGTCTATATATAATTAAACCTTTATGTACTTTTATCGGCTGTAACAGTTTGCTTATCAGTATCTTTTTTCTTGGTGACTAATCTTTTGTGATCAAGATTTTTATTGAACTCTTGTGACTTTATTTGAGATGTGATGCTGTGATTTGACATTGAAATTCTGTTCGATCATATCAGTTCAGGCACGGGCAACAGAGTACTTGAAAAAGAAAACATTGGGAACCGCACAAAGCATTCTTCAATTGTAAAGGAACCAAGCCTGCCAAGCACTCTGTTCAGAAACGGAATTAAAAGGCAAAATGTGAAAAAGTTGCTTGAATTTCAAGGCTTGCAGCAGATTACAGGTGGCTCAGACTCCATTCAACTTTGAGGTCATTGCCAAGTTTCTTATGTGCATTGAAGTTTATTTCATAGCTAGATCATGTGACTGGATTTATCCAAAAAGAAAAACCTTATGACTGGATAAGCGTTGCATGTTAACCTTTGATGCAAGTTTCATGCTTTGAGGCGGTCTAACTTTGAAATCGTAAGAGTTTAGTATTTGTTAGGCAGTTACACCCTATTGGATGGGTTTAAAGATGATCATTGGCATATATCTTGACTTGACTTCTTAGACACATTTATATTTATCATGCTTATATCTTAACATGCCGAAGAACAATAACTCATGCTAGCTTCGTTATCCCATTTTTTTGGATGCTTGACTGAGATTATGGAAGGATAACTTAAGCTGCCGAATAAGTAATAGCTGCATCAATCTGATCAAAACAACATCAACTATATCCATAAACATCCTATCAGGTTAAAGTTTCAGTTATATAGGCTTTTTCTTTTACTGCATCATTAAGATAAATTTAGGCAGAAATGAAGGAAAAGAAACAAAGGGTTCAGGGATTCAGGCTATGTAGACAACATTTTGTTGGTATCTTTTAAGTTAGCTAATACAAAAATTAGATAATTTCCATATTAGTGATAGATGGTCACACATAGACTCTAGTGGTCAAGGTTGCTTTCTCTATATATATTTCTTATATTGGACTATGATTATTTTATAATCCATTTGATTTGATCATTTGGTTTACATATTTCTTAGATGGAGTTGATAGTGGAGATTCGCATTTTGAATAAATAGAAATATAATGTATAAAAAGTTGGCGTTGGAAATCCAACACTGGTCAGTTGAAGCAATTGAAATTGAGGTCAGTAGGGCACTTGAGCCCCCCACGTGTTAGGTTTGTATTGTCAAACATTGCCTTCTAATTTTGTAAACTCCACCGCTCTTTAGATTTGAAAACCATGCCTGCAGATTTCAATAATCGAATCTTCCATTTCACCAAAGCTCATTTAATGTTGGCATCGAACCTCGCATGTCTTATTTTTCCTCTAACATGTGAAAGATGTCTGTTTTTTCTGTACTTTATTCATTCGCTTAAAAAAATCAGCTTAGTTTCCATAGTTGCAAGGTTAGGGGTTTGAATTCAAGCTTGGAAGTTAAAATGTAAAATACGCGGTTTCTGAGATAATGGTAATAATAACAAATTCAATAGGTGTCATGGTTTTATAAAATTATTAGTAATTAATTAGTGGAGAAATGAGATAAGAATCTAGGTAGCTACCAGAGAAAACATAAACTTTGTGTATAAGACAAAGAGAATATATAAATTAAACGATAAATAGAATACATATGGTATGACAACTAGGAAAACAGAGCTGTTTTCCTCGGAATAGAAGATTAAAGCTTGGATCATGTGGAGTGCATTTAATTCTAGAGTGAGAATGGGTCTTCGGGTTCTAAAAACTCTTCTATTTTTACATTTTCAATCTCTCTCGAAATGGGTTGATTTCCTTTTATATGTTAATCCTTAGCCCATGTCGGATCTCGTTAACTGGTTGTTCACATTCATTATTCATTATTCTATATATATCTTTATAACTAGCTTGCTTCTTTACAAATTTACAATTCTTTTATATCAATCTTATATATTGATCATCATCATCATTGAATGGAAACTCTATCTCTTCTTTGTAGTTGAAGTTGATCTCCGATAATTTTTTTTTGGCTGCTTGCATTTAATTGATTATGGAACTCATTATCTCTCATATTTGTGTATAGTTGAAGTTGATCACATATGGTAGCGTGCATGAAGCATCGAAGTTGGTATTTAGATCCTTTTGCGCATGAATTATTATATTTTATTGCCATTTGAAAGTACTGAGGATCATTAATTGAGCATTGATTAACGATACATTAATTAATGTGTTATTGCATTTAATTTTGAGTTCATCAAATTAAGAGAGAAAAAGAGTTATGTATGTTGTTTCCATGTGAATGTTCACCACAAACATTCACGTTGGTTGAGCCCATTTCTCATGGAGTCTCGGTCCTGTTTCAGCCTAATCTAGGCTTAAATTTTCACATCTCTAGTTGTAATTGTGAAAACCATAGTCTTAATTACACACCATTTCATATTAATTGTAGTTTGATTTGGGTTTTTAAGACTTTTCTCGTTTATTAATAGTCAAACTAGTGGAAATTACAAAAAGTTGTATGGATGACACTATCACGCGCCTAGCGGTGGTCAACTCCTCCATCACCTCTTTCTAAGATCTATTAATCTATTAATAAGAAAAGTTACTTTCTTGCCCTTGATCGTATTATGAAGATCGGTTCTCAACATGGTTAGAATTGTCAAAAGGGTACCAGAACTACATGTACATACTGTTTCTTTCCGCATTCAGCAGTATTTAATTCCCTTGTTTAATATGATCATAACTTTAATTATTATTTAATTAAACATGCATGTGGATCCATTCTACACTACGAAATAGAATATGTAGTAATGGCAAACCTCCTCAACCATTATAAATACGCAATTCAAGCTCATTTCTCTTCAACTATAAGCTTCTTGTTTTTACATATAAGACTAGGACTCTTACGTTTTACATAATCCGACAAAGAGCTAATAGCTAGAGACAATCTTTCATCTTTCGTTTCAGCCAGATGGGAGGTTCTTCACCATGCCGTCCGCAAATTATTAAGGCGCCGCTGCGCCAAGGACTGCATCTTTGCCCCTTACTTTCCTTCTGATACCCTCAAAAGTTTCTATGGTTCACAAGGTCTTCGGTGCTAGCAACGTCAGCAAAATGTTGCAGTACGTGTTTAATATTAATAGTCAATCTGTCATTTTAGGCAGCTAAATAATGATGGGGAGGTTTTGTATTATTAATCTGGCGTGCAGGAGCTTCCAGTTCACCAAAGCGGATGCTGTGAGCAGTTTGGTTTATGAAGCAAATGCAAGAGTAAGAGACCCAGTTTATGGATGTGTTGGTGCAATATCTTATCTACAAAGCCAAGTATCACGTTCAAATGCAGCTGGCGGTGGCTCAAACAGAAATACTTTGCATTCAGATGCAGCAAGAGCCAAATAATACCTTACAAACGACGTCGTCTCAATCCCAAATAGACGACGTCCAAGATGACAAATCACTTCTTCTATCATGTACAACTTCAATCACATTCCTCAGTACCTTGGCTTTGCTTCATCTAGCAATGCAATCCAAGATCCTCTTAAGAGAGAGTCTCTTTGGACTTAATTAGTTTGGTTTCTTTTAATTTCACTGTTCAATTACTTCTCTTCTTCTGTTATTGTTTATGTATGGTTTCGTTGAGAAGTTTACAGTTTGAACATGGAATTTAAAATAGGGGCTTTAGTTCAAGTATCAATCCTGCATGTGAACATGGAGTAAAGTAGGGTTAACCAAAGCCCTCTCTTCTTATCAACACGTAAGGTTTTATGACTCATAGCTTAAAATAATAAGCCCTTTTCAATTAGTTAATTTCTCTCCTGTGGATGGTTTCATACAACTCCGCTTTTGCTGCTTCTCCATCCTCTTACCTTTAACCTTCAAAATTTCTGGATCATATTTGGGGTATCTATGGCATAATTGGAATATTCAGATACAGTCCTTTAATTCTGTGTTCCAATTGAATACAGCCTTCCCTTGAGAATAATAGCGTGTTGTGTTGCCATGTTCACGTGAGGGGTTACAATAAATTAACAAGTGCTGCTCATGAAATTAAAGAATCTTAATTTATTTAATTAAATAACACAACCACCACCACGCCTTCAAATTTCTAATGAAATTCGATGGTTACACACCCTCACTTCATTACAGCTAATTATCAATAATTTCTAACTTAACTTGTGACTTTTTGTAGCTTTTACCTCTTTTCTGTTTATTATTTATATGGTTGACTTTTAAGATATGGTTTTAGACTATTAATTAACTATTTAATCCTTGTATTACGTTGATAAATGTTACATTGTGTGATATATAGGCAAAGAAAATTTCAGTATCATATTTTCCTTTCCACATAAATTTTGAAAATATTCGACGTAACACACAAAATGATGTAAAAAGTAAAAAAAAAACAATCGATTTTCCTGTTCATTCTCAATACAACTGCATCTAGCATTTAAGATAGATAAGTTTTTATTGAGTTTCAAAAAGCTGTAGGAAATATATAATATAATGACCGCAATTCACTTTTCCTCTTCTCCTCTCAAGTAGTTTCTGACATTAGGTTTTTTCACTATTATATACACATATAACAGCAAACATAATCACATTTGGCTAGACACTTCCAGACCCAAATATTATAAACAATTCCAAACTCAATTACAAATTAGACCCCTTAATGCATCAGTGTTACAAAATATACCACACCAACAAAATCATGATAGGATTGAAACCCTTCTATTTTTTACTTTTTCATCCATATGTGCATGTGAGTCTACTTGTTTGGAAGGTGTAATACCCAAGATGTCAAATGTATGTTCTTAACTCAAAATAGTCCTTTAAATGTTAATTTTATGTTAAAAAGCATAAAATCTACTAAGGGCAAAATAGTCAATTCATTTGAAACGGTATGAATCAATTATCCATAGAAAGGTATTAAGGGTAAAATAGTCGTTTTGCCTATGGGTAAAATTGAAAAAGTCAAGGATGGGTAGACTTAATTGCATTTAATGAAATTAATTAAGTAATAATTATGTTAGTGCAAAATGATCAAAATGCCCTTATATGAAAATTAAGACTTATGAGTTATACAATTAAAATAATTGGGTCAATAGCATAATTTTAAAAAATTAATGAATATTTTCCTATAAATGAGATGAAATTCGTTCAAGCCAAGGGAGAGGCATTTCTTCCATTTTCTCTCAATTCCATAAAACAAGCTTTCTTCTCTAAGTTTTAAAGAGTTTTGCATAATTTTTCAAGGAGAACAAGATAAGAGCCTTGGATCTTCAAATTGAAGGGTTAAGGTCAGGATTAAAAACCTTAGTTTTGATGTGATTTAAAGATTTGAAGTAGATGTTGAGGTATAATGTTATATATGTAGGATTAGGTGTAAAAGAAGACAAAGGTAAAGGATTTGTTGAAGGAATTGTTTAAAAAGGTAAGGAGAACCTCTCATGACTTTAGGGATTATGCTAGGGTTTGTAGATTTAATAAAACCTTAAATTAAGGCTTTAAGGCTAGCATTAGTTGATGGCAAGTGTAGTTGAACTTATTATTTCTATTTATTGCCTTGAATTCATTATACATGAAGTTTTGTTATTTATTTTTATGAGTTGTTATGTTTGTTGAAGAAAATGAAGTGTGGATGTTGATTGTGGCAAAAACTTGTAGTATTAAAGCCACATGGTATTAATGGTTGCTATTAGAATGTTGATGTGTTGTTTGCATTAGCTTACATGTTATAACAATAGTTGATGATTATGGGAAGTGATTTTACATTCTTTAAGATGTTACAGACTATTAAGGGGAGGTTTTTTGATCCTAAGTTGACCTATTGGTTAATTGTCAATAGAATTTATGTGGCTAGTTTAATATGAAATTCGGATTTGGTAACTTAGGGGTTTATGTTAAACATGTTTTAGTTTCGACCATAACTGAGTTATAAATCGAAATGAGATAATTCTTGAAGCTTAGAAATTTAAGACATACCCTACAACTTTTACGTTTATGCCAAAAGCCAATTCGATTATCAAATAGATGGAAAATGGCCTGAAGTATAAGCTTTTGGTTATTAAAGTTTAAGATTTAATATAATTAATTCTTATAATTATGAATTGATTATATATTGACATGATTACGCCATGTACTAATGTTTATCCATTAGTTAAATGATCTTTGAAAGATATACATGGTCATGATGTCAATGCATGATTAATATTATGAAATGACATGAAGATGCAATGTAATACATGTTTTAAGATGATGAATGTGAGCAAGAGGTAATGTAAATGGATTGATAATTCATAGATGAATTAAAAGTATTAAGCTCACTAAAATATGTATTTACATGCCATAAGATGTTAAAGCTGTATTTAGACATGATGGAAAACGCGTAAGCATATCCTCATATACCAGTTGAGGAAATATGAATATATGCTTTAGATGCTAAATAAGGCGTAAGCACGCCTCCGATGATATGAGCTCTAGATGAATTTGAGTTTAGATGATATGAAGTACTTAAGATGCTAAGAAAAGTCTGATCGGCTAGACGTTAAATGCTTCATATGCATTTAGTTGCATTACATGAGTTATGATGTTATTTACATCATGAGATGATTTATACTCATGTTAGATGATATTTAGATATTATATCATGACATGTAATATGTGTGTACTATGTTTACATACTTATTTGTATGTGTATACATTGATGTTTATATAACCATGAGATAAAATGATGAAAAACATATGAATTAGAAAAAAAAAAGGAAGTATACCTAGATGTAAAAGATAAGTGATGTGTTAATGAATATGTTTAAATGAAAGTCAAATAGTACATTTAGAATGAAATAGATCATTCCTTACTGAGCGATTAGTGCTCACCCTTTCATTGTTGATTGCTTTGCAAATAGACTAAAAGCGAATGATGTTAGAGAGAGCGAGGCTACACATGAAGGGAGATGATTTATTGTCATCTTGATGTAAATAATGTAAATGATAAATGTTTGTGAAACACATTTGGAAGATTCCACCCTATAAATATGTTTTGATTATGTAATTTCTAGATAAATTCTTAAAGTTTTTGAAATTATAAGTGTGGATCATGTGTGACATCTTATATGCATGTTTTGGATATTATTATTATTATCCTTACACATGTTTTTTTCTAAATACAACTCGTTCTCCAGACATGTATCCTCGGGATTCTCATAGGATACCTAACTAGAGGGGGGTTTTATAGAAGGGTGTCAAATTTCATCTTGCCCTGAATTTTTTTTGTCGACCCCTAAACTTAATCGCAATTTCCTTGACAAATTTTACTTTGGTCTTTCTCGTTCGTTGAACATTACACTTTGACCCTCAAATGGAAATTGCTTATTTACCACTAGAAATGGTTATACATACAATCAACGGACTATGAGACGTTTTGTCAATGTCTCATGCATTGATGGTTTATTTTACATACAATGATTAAGAAATTTTTTTTCTCATAATTAATTAAAAATTCTTATATTTGTATGTATTTATCATATAATTAAATTAAGTTCGATTCACTACTTTAACATGAAAACATCTTAAATAAAACATGTTTATCACAAGTCATTTATGCACTAAATCTAAATATTATAACAATTACGTATTTATTTTATCTTTTTTTACCTATCCCATTATAATATGATTGATTTCAAACAAACACATATAACTACTATGATACATTGTTGTTCTATAAAGATTTCCTGGCTTTAACATTAACAATTTGATAACCTATTCGTGGATAGTCGAAATGGTTAGGACGAATTGGAGTTAGTTTGGAGATTCCAGGTCGATTCTCAATCTGAAACATGTGTGATTTAAGTGGGAGACTATGACGGTGGATTGTTACACTAGTTATTCTTGAGAATTAGTCAAATTATGCGTAATTTGATTGGGACACCTTGTTAAAAAAAAAAAAAATATTAACAATTTGATACAATTCCCAAGCTGTGATAGCTACAAAAGAAACCAAATGGGTACGGCAAAATCACATAGTTAAAAAAGACCATTCTCTATACTCACAAAAATATCATCGGCATTCAACCAAACTAGGAAACCCACCTACACAATAGTGTACTGGACTGGTAAATCAATGTCACCTTTAATTGCTCAATCAATTAACACCTTCTTCTTCCAATCACGTGCTTCTTGATATATACGACACACTCATGAAAGGTCTCGTTATTTGGCCTCATTTCCTCCTTCCTTGCTGGACTCTATTACCCAATCGCCGAAAATTTGTGCACAGACCAACCAATAGATTGAAGATAAGGTGCCACGTAGATGCTCTTTTTCTTCTTTTTTAATTGGAAGAGAGAAAAATATCCATAATCTGTTTTAGACATACAGGTTCAGGTTTCTTTTGAATTGCGCCATGCATACATGGATGTAAAGAGTAAGAGGAAGTGAAAGAGAGTGAGAGAAGGAGAGAGGTGAAATGGGGTACTATTCGTTGTTAAGAAGCCCGAAGAAGGAAGAACAACAAGTTCCTGTGACCATTGAAACTGAATTTGTCGACATGAAAGCTGAGTTTTATGGCGAAGATGACATGAATATCATGGATGAATTGGAGGGCATTTGGGGGCTTAATGAAAATGAAGAGAAGTTAGCGAAAGATAACACACAGCAGCAGCTGACTCAACTTAGTTGGAATTTCATGGACTGGGGCCAAGGATTTATTCATCCCAATGCTCAACAACAACAACAAGAAGAAGAGGACGAAGAAGAAGAAGAAGAAGAAAGATCAGAAGAACAGATTGATGAATTCAAAAGAAAGTTCTTTCCCGAAGAGGTTATAAAAAAAGAAAATCTCGGGTTTCGGGATGAAGATGAGAACAACAACAAAGTGGCATCTTTGAACTTGAATTTGAACTATCAAGAAGTGTTAGATGCATGGTCTGATCGTGGACCTCTCTGGGCTGATGAGTATTCTCTTTCAATGGCAAACAATGGCTACTACGTTAGTATACTCAACTAATTACTTATCTTTCATTCATTTCACAAGTTTTATGATTTTCAATTAATTATCTAGTAAATATAAGTGAAAATTTGTACTGAATTGTCCATAGATGGGAGAGGTTCCAGTGATGGAAGAAGAAAAAGCAAGAAGAGAAGCAAGTGTTTTAAGGTACAAAGAGAAACGTCAAACAAGACTGTTCTCCAAGAAGATAAGGTACCAAGTTCGCAAACTCAATGCAGATAAAAGACCAAGACTTAAGGTTAATTAATCTTTATTCTTCTCTTAATTAATTTCTGAACTAATTATGTCTTCTCCATATAATACTAATCAAGATTAATTTGGATGTTAATCAATCGGTTGCTGCAGGGTCGATTTGTTAAGAGAGTTTCATGAGAAGATAGTCAAAATTATGAGCTTAGAAATATCTGAAAAATATCTCACTTTGTATGTGCTTTTTTTAAAGTAAGGAAAAAATATCTTTATCTATTCATCGATACAGACTTTCTGGGAACTTCTTGTGCAACTTTTTGTGATGGACCCACTGACCAATTCCATTATGTGATGTGTTATGAATTACTCCTAATTGAAATTGACCCAACTGTGATATGTATATATATATCTCAGCAAGGTCTAGTTTTGCCATTTTTCTGGTGAAAAGAGTCAAATTCAGAGAATTTAGCATCTGGGTATGCTTGATTAAAGGTGGGATTCGAATAAGTTTTCACAAAAAGTGGTCCATTTATTTGAAATTTGGTTGTGGGGTTGCTTCAGCTTTGTGTTTTTATCTCTTTATGTCTAGTGGCATTTTCTATGTAGACAATTCAGCTGCACTGAGAAATTATTGTGGGCAAGATATGTCACTCTATCTTATGGATGACTCAGCGGGGGACTTTATTCCAAGAAAAATACATAATTTCTAAGCATTTGGCTTGTGGTCTGATGGCAAAACTTTAAGTTATTGATAGATTCTATTACATTTGTGACTTATCTAGTCTATTAAGTTTATAGGGTGTTCGATGAATTTCGAAGATTAGTTGAGATACGCACAAATTGACTTGGACAATTGAGCATCAAAAAAAAAAAAAAAAACACATTTCCAGCACACATAATGTTATTTTATTGTTTTCATATATAGACATAAAAGTAATTTTTGGAATTATTTTCGAAATGGGTACCCAAATGAATGGAAAACAGTATTGATATGACATTTATTTAAAATAATCCATTAGATTTCTATGAAATTAATTAAACCATTTCGCATAAACTTGTTTGTAGGGTTAATTTGTAATAAGAAAATATGTAGCCCCGTCCTAGGAGATGATACATTTGGGTCATGGGCCTTTTTGCTTTCTTATCGGTCCACTCGAGATTAGATTATGTGGGAAAAACTCATGTTCACACCTAATTTTAGAAACTAATTTCGTATACGCGCCCCTCAGGCCCCGGCCCCCCCCGCCCCCCCCGCCCCCCCTTTTTTTTTTTTTGTAATTGACAAGTGGCGTCACTTTAACTAATCCACAGTATCCATTGAACATTCTACAAGCCTAATGAGCTAAGTAAGTCACAAATATTATAGGTTGCCATTTTGTGTGACTCGAACACAAGACCTATGCGTAATCCACAATCTTATCATTCGATCACAAATCAAGTGGTTACACCCCTTTCTTCTCTCATTAACTTTAACATCCCACTTTGAAAATTGAGAACCCTAACCCTAACGTCCCCCCTTGTGACCTCATGATAAACCTTTTAGCTATTAGGGTTAGTTATACCTACAGGTTTTGTGTTCAAGTTGCAAGAGAGACAATTATCGGGTTCCCCCCCCCCCCCCCCCAAAAAAAAAAAAAAATACCTAACCCTAACAATAGTTAAATTTTATTCTAAATTATTTTGACCAATTGGTATTTTCTTTTATAATGTGGGATGACTAATGGATTTATTTGAAATTATATGAAGATGAAAAAGGCACTCAAAATTAGGCATGAGTACTTTGAAAATATAAGAAGGGTGATTACCAAAATGTGTCGTAACATAAGTTTTTATGTGTCATCTAATGGTGCCTCAAAACAAAGAATGGAAAGCATGATATACTTTATAATTTCATAATATTAATGTTTGGTACAACAATATGAACGAGTGTAGTGGAGAAGCAAATCACGTGTAAACATAAATTTATTAAATTTTTTGGTCCTACTTTGTTTACATCTTGAAAAGCAAAATTCATGTGGTCTCCACTGTCTAGGCCAGCTTGCGCCACCATGGCCCCCAAGTAAATAATGGACAAAGGGGTTATCTTTGTGCCCAACGAAAGAATCGAACTAGAAATTGTAAGTTATATTATTTGTAATCCCCTTTGTTTGCCTCACGGCAAGGCTACCCATGGGTGGGTGTGGCTTCCACTTTTGGGGCCACTTTCTTAAATTACTCACCCTAATATGAAGCTACTAGAGGTGGGCAAGGGCCGAGCTTAGTTGGTCCCGGGCCTGAGCCCTCAAGGATTGGACCCAATTTGAGATCGGTCCTTTTGGGACTGGGCCCAAATCATGAAAGACTGGTTTTTAAGGGACCGAACCCAAATCTTGAAGGACTGGTCCAGGCCCATGAGTTTTCATAGGGCCTGGTCCCAAGATCAGTCCTATAGGCTAGAATTTTTTTTTTTGTAAAATTATGTATTTGGATATATTTAGAAGGTTTTTGATAATTTTCAGGGAGTTTATGTAATTTTAAGGGTTTTTAAAAATAAACAGGCCTGGGCCTGGTACTGGTCTCTAGTCCCCTGGGCCTGGTAAGGACCGGTTCTGCCCGGGCCAAATTCCCACCTCTGACAAGCTACTCCTTTGAGGTCGTTTCTACGGAGTGCTGTAATAATATTATGAGGATCCATCTCAAACACAAACATCAAACATGAAAATCTTCCATTTAGTAGCCCTGCCTTTTCCTGGCAGAGGCCATATCGATCCCATGATGAACCTCTGCAAGCTACTCGTTTCAAGACGATCTCATTTTCTCATTACTTTTGTTGTCACTGAAGAGTAGCTTTGCTTCATCGATTCCGAAACCCAGCCCGACAGCATCCTGTTCGCTACAGTGCCCAATGTAATACCCTCTGAGCTTGTCCGTGGCAAGAATTTTCCTGGCTTCTTCGAATCTGTTTTCACAAAAATGGAAGCTCCTTTTGAGAAGCTATTGGATGAGGTTGAGTTTGAGACCCCGGGGACTGCTATTATAGCTGATTCTTACATGACCTGGGCTGTTGACGTTGGAAACCGTAGGAACATTCCTGTAGCTTCGCTTTGGCCAATGTCTGCATCTGAATTGTCAGTTTACCATCATATTGACCTCCTCGTTAAAAATGGGCATTTCCCGGTTGAACTTCCAGCCTCCAGGTGCGTTTTTGTTTAACACAAGCGTTTCTCATTTCAGTTTGAATCATAACCATGGGTAGATGAGCAAGAAACCTAGCGTACATTTTTTCCCTTAAAAGTTGTGTCATACTCATTCAATTAAAACTGGCTCCTGTCTGGTCTATAAAATCATGTGCATTGATGATTATAACATGAGATTTTGTGCACATGCTGTCATCTTGAGACTTAGTAGAGAACAGTAACAAAACAATGTGTCGTATTCTCTTAATTTTAACCTAACGTAACAGTATTGATTTATTATGACATTTAAAGAATCGAATCTATCAATTATGACATTAAAGCATCGAATCTATCAATTCTAAAATACAACAAAATGCGTAGTCTAGAATCAAGAATCAAGATCCATTTTTTTATTTTTTCGAGGTATTTTAGCCCTTTTAATATATTTTAATTAATTTTTCGAGACCTTAAAACTATTAATTAAATAAAAATTCTAATAAAATGAAAATTCTAATAGTTACTCCTATTAGCAATCGATGAGAGATTCGAACTCAAACAAGATTTTTTTTTTTAATGATTGAGGGTGTCCTAACCAATTTATACGTATTTCAACTAATCTCTTAAGACCTTAGAACTATCAGTTGGATAAGATCTCTAATGACTACTCCTATTAATAATCGGGAAAAGACTCGAATTAAGACATTTTGAGCAATACACTAAGAACCCTTTATCGAACCACTAACAACCTAGAGATAGTTTTACTCAAGATCCATTTTCTCTCGGATATATATATATATATACACACACGTGTGTGTGTGAAATATTCTATTGGCATGGGTTCTAGTAATTCATCTAATCAACAAGAAAATCATAGGATAAAGTTTTCCCAAGTATACAATAAATATATTTTATAAATATGTAAATTTTTAGGTTCAACGCCCTTGATTTTTTATTTTTTTTATTTTAAGCAAGGCCTCATTCCCATAGGACATACAAAATACAGATGCATATAATTACAAATTTCTTTGATTGTATCACATAATCTTGGTTTTTCAAGAACCTGGAGACGAGAAAGTGGACTACATCCCCGGACTTCCTTCAACAAGGGTAGCTGATCTGAAAGAAGTTTTGCATCTCTTCTTCACTTCCGTCTACAACCTGCTCAAGTCATAGACAAATTAGAAGCACAATTCCCTTTCGCCGTCTATCCAGTTTGACCTACCATACCCAACTTTCAACTCAAAGACCACAATTCTTCAATAACTACTAGTCTCAATGATCTCAACTAACTCCAGTGGTTGGATTCTCAGCCCAGTGGCTCTGTCTTGTTCATCTCATTGGAAAGTTTTCTATCAGTTTCAAATGCTCAAATGGACGAGATTGTCGCGGGAGTGCTCAATAGTGGGGTCAGCTATTTGTGGATGGCTCGTGGTGACACTTCTAGGTTTCCAGATGGGAGGGATGATATGAGGATTTTAGTGCCTTGGTGTGACCAATTAAGCGTGTTGTACAATTCTTCCATCAGTGTATTTTTGACACACTGTGGTGGAGTTCCACTCTTGAAGGGTGGGTTTTTTTTTTTTTGGTTGTTTAGGCTAGTTTGCGCACCTCAACTAGTTTTTCAGGGTCTTGAAATTAATGGTCAGGTAAGTTTTTAATAACTATTATTTATAAGTACTCGTGGAGATTAGAACTTAGGATATTTTAAAGAGGTTTATATCATAGTTCCAATGCTTACATTTTTCATTTTTTGCGGATCGAATTCCAAACAGTAATCAAATTTTGGAGGATTGGAAGATTGGATGGAGAGTAAAAAGAGAAGTTGGAAGCGAAAGTTTTGTATACATAATTTATACTTTGAGTAATACTACACTTATAAAGATATTTTATAAAGATCTCCATACAAAGTGATGTGACAAAAAATGAATGGAATAGTAAATTTAATGTGTTTGACTTTTTGTTTGACTCTTCCATTCATTTTTTGCCATCTCACTTTGTATGGAAATCTTTGTAAGTATAGTATTATTGTTATACTTTTGGTCCAACTTCTTGCTTCAAAATCAGAATGCCATATATGACAACTTTACGTTGGCTCAACTTTTGGGGCCACCCACTTAATATTGAGGGTATGAAAAATAATACAGTGATCGAAGAATATGTATCGAATTCATACATTGAATGATGTGGTATCATCTTGACCGTCGATTAATCATAATTCTTTTTTTTAAGAAAATATGATAATGTGACGTCATCCAGTCCTTGAATTCGGTATACATTTCTCGGTAACTGTATTATTGCTCTTGAGGGTATTTACGCCAATTAATCTTCTGTAAGGAAGTCTTTTTCTTTTTGGTAACTGTAAGTCAGTCTCTTTGATTTACTCCTTATAAGGGTCTCTTCTAGCTAGACTATCAAACTTCCACACAGTTTGCAGTAATAAAATTCTCAGAATTCATTGATTGCATATGGCTCAATCCCAAACCAAAACATCAAGCATGAAGATCTGCCACGTACTGGCCCTGCCTTATCCTGGTAGAGGCCATATCAATCCCATGATGAATCTCTGCAAGCTACTCGTTTCAAGACAACCTCATATTCTCATCACTTTTGTCGTCACTGAAGAGTGGCTTGGCTTCATTGGTTCCGAAACCAAGCCGGAGAACGTCCGGTTCGCTACTGTTCCCAATGTTATACCGTCTGAGCTTGATCGCGCCAAGGACTTTCCTGGCTTCGTGGAAGCTGTTTTCACAAAGATGGAAGCTCCTTTTGAGGAGCTACTGGATGAGCTAGAGTTCCCAGTGTTTGCTATCGTAGCTGATTCTTACATGCGTTGGGCTGTTGATGTTGGTAACCGGAGGAACATTCCGGTGGCTTCGCTTTGGCCAATGTCTGCATCTGTATTTTCAGTTTTTCATCATCATGAGCTCCTTCTTAAAAATGGGCATTTCCCGGTTGAACTTTCAGGTGCGTATAAACTATATATTTTTTATGCGTTTTTCACTTCAGTTTGAGTTTACAGATTAGAAAAGATGAGAGCAAGAACGTAACATTTTCTTCTCTTAAACTAAAAATCATACATAGCTGGAATGATCCTGGGAAAAAATCAGTGCAATCAGGATCATAGCATGGATTTATGTGCACTTGCTGTCATCTTTTACAACTGGGCTACGTCCGTATTGCAGAAGGAAAAACAGTTTACAAATAATAATAATAAACATATATATGTATATATACTTTCTAGAGCAGATAGTATTTTCTTAATATTAACCTAAAGGATATAAAATGCTTCTTGTGACAATTGAAAGGATAAAATAACTTCGAACAGGATATGCAGTCAAGATCATGATTCCTTTTCTCTAGGGATACTGTACAAACAAAGGTAGATAAAATCAATGATGTTAATCTTCAACAGGCATTTAATAAATTAATTTCATTGGCTATAGCGATTTAATTTACTATATATTATCACACTCCAATTCCAACAAGTACTTGTGCACGAACATAGACAAAAATATTATTAATTGCCTATTAGCAAATTAATCTGCACATCATGTGTGTATTAGTATTCAGTATGATGATGGAGTTAATTTCAATATAAAGAGAGGTCGTCCCCCCGTACTAAATACATATGCATGTAATTAAAAATTTCTTTGTTTGCATCTGATAATCTTGGGTTCTGAAGAGCGTGGAGAAGAGGTGGTGGACTACATCCCCGGACTTCCTTCAACAAGGGTAGCTGATCTTCCAACTGTTTTGTATGGAGGTGAAAGACAAGTTTTACATCGGGTCCTGGAAAGTGTTTCAGGGGTGTCAAAAGCACAGTATCTTTTCTTCACTTCAGTCTACAAGCTTGAAGCTCAAGTGATTGACAAATTAAGAGCGGAATTCCCTTTCCCCGTTTACCCAGTTGGACCTACGATACCCTACTTTCAACTCATCTATGTTAGCATCGATGAGAGTTCAAACTCAAACAAGATTTTTTTTTTTTAATGATTGAGAGTGTTCGAACCAACTTATGTGCATTTATCTAATCTCCTAAGATCTTAAATTATAAGTCGAATAAGAACTTTGGTGATAATCTTATTAGAACTGAGAAAATACAAAATTAAGACATTTAAATAATGCACTAAGAGCCGTCTATCGAACCACTAACCACCTAGAGATAGTTCTACTCAATATTTATTTCTCTTTGGATATATATATGTGTGTGAGAAATATTCGATTAGCATGGGTTATAGTAAATATAAAGTTTTTCCAAGTATACATAAATTTTTATAAAATATGTAAATTTTTAGGTTCAACGCCCTTGATTTTTTTTTTTTTTTTTTTACAAGGCTTCACTCCCATGGGATATACAAAATACAGATGCATTAATTACAAATTTCTTTGATTGTATCACATAAGCTTGGTTTTTAAGACCTGGAGACGAGAAAGTGGACTACATCCCCGGACTTCCTTCAACAAGGGTAGCTGATCTGAAAGAAGTTTTGCATCTCTTCTTCACTTCCGTCTACAACCTGCTCAAGTCTATAGACAAATTAAAGCACATTCCCTTTCCCCATCTACCAGTTGGACCTACCATAACCAACTTTCAACTCAAAGACCACAATTCTTCAATAACTACTAGTCTCAATGATCTCAACTAACTCCAGTGGTTGATTCTCAGCCCAGTGGCTGTGTCTTGTTCATCTCATTGGAAAGTTTTCTATCAGTTTCAAATGCCCAAATGGACGAGATTGTCGCGGGAGTGCTCAATAGTGGGTCAGTTTTGGGTGGCTCTGGGGACACTTCTAGGTTTCCAGATGGGAGGGTGATATGGGGATTTTAGTACCTTGGTGTGACCAATTGAGGGTGTTGTCCATTCTTCCATCAGTGTATTTTGACACATTGTGGTTGAGTTCCACCCTTTAAGGGTGGTTTTTTTTTTTTTGTGGCATTTGTGTTGTCTAGATAGCTGTACACCTCGATGTTTTTCAAATCTTGAAATTAATAGTTAAGTAAGTTTTTAATGCTATCTCTTATAATAGTCATAGTGTAAAGATTGAAATTTAGGATCTTAAAGATGTTTATATTATAATTTCAATGCTTACATTTCCACTTTTTGCGGATCAAATTCCAAACAGTAAGCAAATTTAGGAGGATTGGAAGATTGGATGGAGAGTAAAAAGAGAAGTTGGAAGCGAAAGTTTTGTATACAGAATTTAACTTTTGGTCCAACTTCTTGCTTCAAAACAGAATGCCGTATACGACAATTTACGTTGGCTTGGGGCCACCCACTGAATATTCCAGCACACATAATGTTATTTTATTGTTTTCATATATAGACATAAAAGTAATTTTTGGAATTATTTTCGAAATGGGTACCCAAATGAATGGAAAACAGTATTGATATGACATTTATTTAAAATAATCCATTAGATTTCTATGAAATTAATTAAACCATTTCGCATAAACTTGTTTGTAGGGTTAATTTGTAATAAGAAATTATGTAGCACCGTCCTATGAAATGATACATTTGGGTCATGGGCCTTTTTGCCTTCTTATCGGTCCACTCGAGATTAGATTATGTGGGAAAAATTCATGTTCACCCCTAATTTTAGAAACTAATTCATCACATACCCCTTTTTTCTTTCTTTTTTTTGTAACTAACAAGTCGCGTTATCTTAACTAATCCATGGTATCTATTGAACATTCTACAAGCCCAATGAGCCAAGTAAGTCACAAATATAATAGGTAGCTATTTTGTGAGACTCGAATACAAGATTTATACGTAGCCCACAATCTTGTCATTCGACCACAAATCAAGTGGTTATACCCCTTTCTTCTCTCATTAACTTTAACATCCCACTTTGAAAATTGAGAACCCTAACCCTAACCTCCCCCCTTGTGACCGGTATTTTCTTTTATAATTTGGGACGACTAATGGATTATTTGAAATTATATGAAGATGAAAAAGGCACTCAAAATTAGGCATGAATACTTTGAAAATATAAGAAGGGTGATTACGAAAATGTGTCGTAACATAAGTTTGTATGGGTCATCTAATGGTGCCTCAAAACAAAGAATGGAATGCATGATATACTCTATATTTTCATAATATTAATGTTTGGTACAACAATATGAACGAGTGTAGTGGAGAAGCAAATCACGTGTAAACATAAATTTGTTAAATTTTTTGGTCCTACTTTGTTTACATCCTGAAAAGCAAAATTCATGTGGCCTCCACTGTCCGAGCCAGCTTGCGCCGCCATGGCCCCCAAGTAAATAATGGACAAAGGGGTCATTTTTGTGCCCAACGAAAGAATCGAACCAGAAATTGTAAGTTATATCATTTGTAATCCCCTTTGTTTGCCTCACGGCTAGGCTACCCATGGTGTGGCCTCCACTTTTGGGGTCACTAACTTGAATTACTCACCTAATATGAAGCTACTAGAGGTGGGCAAGACCCGAACTCAATTGGTCCCGAGCCTGAGCCCTTAAGGATTGGGCCCAATTTGGGATCGGTCCTTTTGGGACTGAGCCCAAATCATGAAAGACTGGTCCTTAAGGGACCAGACCCAAATCTTGAAGGACTGGTCCAGGCCCATGAGTTTTCATAGGACCGTCCTATGGGCTAGAAATTTTTTTTGTAAAATTATATTGTAACTCTTGAATTTATTATGTATATTGTATATTATAGAAAGTTTTTGATAATTTTCATGAAGTTTATGTAATTTTAAGGGTTTTTAAAAATAAACAGGCCCAAGCCTGGTATCGGTCCCAGGCCCGGACCCCAGGCCGGTCCCTCCTCCCTTGGGCCTGGTAAGGACCTGTCCTGCGCGGGCCAAATTCCCACCTCTGTAAGCTACTCCTTGGAGGTCGTTTCTACGGAGTGCTGTAATAATATTCTGAGGATCCATCCCAAACAAAAACGCCAAACATGAAAATCTTCCATTTAGTATCCCTACCTTTTCCTGGTAGAGGCCATATCGATCCCATGATGGACCTCTGCAAGCTACTCGTTTCAAGATGATCTCATTTTCTCATTACTTTTGTTGTCACTGAAGAGTGGTTTTGCTTCATCGATTCCGAAACCAAGCCCGACAGCATCCGGTTCGTTACAGTGCCCAATGTAATACCCTCTGAGCTTGTACGTGGCAAGAATTTTCCTGGCTTCTTCGAATCTGTTTTCACAAAAATGGAAGCTCCTTTTGAGAAGCTATTGGATGAGGTTGAGTTTGAGACCCCGGGGACTGCTATTATAGCTGATTCTTACATGCCTTGGGCTGTTGACGTTGGAAACCGCAGGAACATTCCTGTAGCTTCGCTTTGGCCAATGTCTGCATCTGAATTGTCAGTTTACCATCATATTGACCTCCTCGTTAAAAATGGGCATTTCCCAGTTGAACTTCCAGCCTCCAGGTGCGTTTTTGTTTAACACAAGCGTTTTTCATTTCAGTTAGAATCATAACCATGGGTAGATGAGCAAGAAACCTAACGTACATTTTTTCTCTTAAAAGTTTTGTCATACTTATTCAAAGCTGGCTTCCTGGCTTCTGTCTGGTCTATAAAATCATGTGCATTGATGATCATAACATGGGATTTTGTGCACATGCTGTCATCATGAGACATTAAAGCATCGAATCTATCAATTCTAAAATACAACGGAATGCTTAGTCAAGACTCAAGAATCAAGATCTTTTTTTTTTTTAATTTTTTCGGGTGTTTGAGCCATTTATATACATTTCATTTAATTTTTCAAGAAGTTAGAATTATTGGCTAAGTAGGGGTTTTAATGGTTATTTCTATTAGCAATCGATGAGAGGTTCAAACTCAAACAAGATTTTTTTTTTTTAATGATTGAGAGTGTTCGAACCAACTTATGTGCATTTTATCTAATCTCCTAAGATCTTAAAATTATAAGTCGAATAAGAACTTTGGTGATAATTCTTATTAGTAACTGAGAAAATATCAAAATTAAGACATTTAAATAATGCACTAAGAGCCGTCTATCGAACCACTAACCACCTAGAGATAGTTCTACTCAATATTTATTTTCTCTTGGATATATATATGTGTGTGTGAGAAATATTCGATTAGCATGGGTTATAGTAATATAAAGTTTTTCCAAGTATACAATAAATTTATTATATAAATATGTAAATTTTTAGGTTCAACGCCCTTGATTTTTTTTTTTTTTTTTTTTTTTTACAAGGCTTCACTCCCATGGGATATACAAAATACAGATGCATATAATTACAAATTTCTTTGATTGTATCACATAAGCTTGGTTTTTTAAGAGCCTGGAGACGAGAAAGTGGACTACATCCCCGGACTTCCTTCAACAAGGGTAGCTGATCTGAAAGAAGTTTTGCATCTCTTCTTCACTTCCGTCTACAACCTCGAAGCTCAAGTCATGATAGACAAATTAAAAGCACGATTCCCTTTCCCCATCTACCCAGTTGGACCTACCATAACCAACTTTCAACTCAAAGACCACAATTCTTCAATAACTACTAGTCTCAATGATCTCAACTAACTCCAGTGGTTGGATTCTCAGCCCAGTGGCTGTGTCTTGTTCATCTCATTGGAAAGTTTTCTATCAGTTTCAAATGCCCAAATGGACGAGATTGTCGCGGGAGTGCTCAATAGTGGGGTCAGGTATTTCTGGGTGGCTCGTGGGGACACTTCTAGGTTTCCAGATGGGAGGGCTGATATGGGGATTTTAGTACCTTGGTGTGACCAATTGAGGGTGTTGTGCCATTCTTCCATCAGTGTATTTTGGACACATTGTGGTTGGAGTTCCACCCTTTAAGGGTGGTTTTTTTTTTTTTTGTGGCATTTGGGGTTGTCTAGATAGCTTGTACACCTCGATTAGTTTTTCAAAATCTTGAAATTAATAGTTAAGTAAGTTTTTAATGACTATCTCTTATTAATAGTCATAGTTGTAAAGATTGAAATTTAGGATCTCTTAAAGATGTTTATATTATAATTTCAATGCTTACATTTCCACTTTTTGCGGATCAAATTCCAAACAGTAAGCAAATTTAGGAGGATTGGAAGATTGGATGGAGAGTAAAAAGAGAAGTTGGAAGCGAAAGTTTTGTATACAGAATTTAACTTTTGGTCCAACTTCTTGCTTCAAAATCAGAATGCCGTATACGACAAGTTTACGTTGGCTTGGGGCCACCCACTGAATATTGAGGGTATTTACGCCAATTAATCTTCTGTAAGGAAGTCTTTTTCTTTTTGGTAACTGTAAGGCAGTCTCTTTGACCTACTCCTTAGAAAGGTCTCTTCTAGCTACTCGTTTGCAGTATTGAAATTCTCAGAATCCACTGATCGCATATGGTTCAATCCCAAACCAAAACATCAAGCATGAAGATCTGCCAGGTACTGGCCCTGCCTTATCCTGGTAGAGGCCATATCAATCCCATGATGAATCTCTGCAAGCTACTCGTTTCAAGGCAACCTCATATTCTCATCACTTTTGTCGTCACTGAAGAGTGGCTTGGCTTCATTGGTTCCGAAACCAAGCCGGAGAACGTCCGGTTCGCTACTGTTCCCAATGTTATACCGTCTGAGCTTGATCGCGCCAAGGACTTTCCTGGCTTCTTGGAAGCTGTTTTCACAAAGATGGAAGCTCTTTTTGAGAAGCTACTGGATGAGCTAGAGTTCCCAGTGTTTGCTATCGTAGCTGATTCTTACATGCGTTGGGCTGTTGATGTTGGTAACCGGAGGAACATTCCGGTGGCTTCGCTTTGGCCAATGTCTGCATCTGTATTTTCAGTTTTTCATCATCATGAGCTCCTTCTTAAAAATGGGCATTTCCCAGTTGAACTTTCAGGTGCGTATAAACTATATATTTTTTATGCGTTTTTCACTTCAGTTTGAGTTTACAGATTAGAAAAGATGAGAGCAAGAACGTAACATTTTCTTCTCTTAAACTAAAAATCATACATAGCTGGAATGATCCTGGGAAAAAATCAGTGCAATCAGGATCATAGCATGGATTTATGTGCACTTGCTGTCATCTTTTACAACTGGGCTACGTCCGTATTGCAGAAGGAAAAACAGTTTACAAATAATAATAATAAACATATATATGTATATATACTTTCTAGAGCAGATAGTATTTTCTTAATATTAACCTAAAGGATATAAAATGCTTCTTGTGACAATTGAAAGGATAAAATAACTTCGAACAGGATATGCAGTCAAGATCATGATTCCTTTTCTCTAGGGATACTGTACAAACAAAGGTAGATAAAATCAATGATGTTAATCTTCAACAGGCATTTAATAAATTAATTTCATTGGCTATAGCGATTTAATTTACTATATATTATCACACTCCAATTCCAACAAGTACTTGTGCACGAACATAGACAAAAATATTATTAATTGCCTATTAGCAAATTAATCTGCACATCATGTGTGTATTAGTATTCAGTATGATGATGGAGTTAATTTCAATATAAAGAGAGGTCGTCCCCCCGTACTAAATACATATGCATGTAATTAAAAATTTCTTTGTTTGCATCTGATAATCTTGGGTTCTGAAGAGCGTGGAGAAGAGGTGATGGACTACGTCCCCGGACTTCCTTCAACAAGGGTAGCTGATCTTCCATCTGCTTTGTATGGAGGTGAAAGACAAGTTTTACATCGGGTCCTGGAGAGTGTTTCAGGGGTGTCAAAAGCACAGTATCTTTTCTTCACTTCAGTCTACAAGCTTGAAGCTCAAGTGATTGACAAATTAAGAGCGGAATTCCCTTTCCCCGTTTACCCGGTTGGACCTACCATACCCTACTTTCAACTCACAGACGACAACTCTTCACTAACTACAAGTCTCAATGGTCTTAACTACCTCAAGTGGCTGGATTCTCAGCCTAGTGGCTCAGTCTTGTACTTCTCATTGGGAAGTTTTCTATCAGTTTCCAGTGCCCAGATGGATGAAATTGTGGCTGGGGTTCGCAATAGTGGTGTTAGGTATTTGTGGGTAACTCGTGGTGACACTTCTAGGTTTAAAGATGGGGGGGATGATAAGGGGATTGCAGTGCCTTGGTGTGACCAACTGAGGGTGTTGTGCCATTCTTCCATCGGTGGATTTTGGACACATTGTGGTTGGAGTTCCACTCTTGAAGGGGTTTATGCTGGAGTTCCAATGCTTACTTTTCCAATAATTGCGGATCAAGTTCTAAATAGTAAGCAAATTGTAGAGGATTGGAAGATTGGATGGAGAGTAAAGAAAGAGGTTGCAAGTGAAAGTCTGGTGACAAGAGAAGAAATTTCAGAGCTAGTACAAAGGTTTATGGATAGAAACAGTGGTGAGAAGAAGGAGATGAACAAAAGGGCTAGAAAACTTCAAGAAATTTGTGAAGTAGCAGTTGCAGAGGGTGGATCATCTATAACAAATATTGACGCTTTCCTTGAGGATATTTCACAAAACCTCTCCAAATGAAGCAATTAAGTTAATGTACCCCTATGAAGATTGGTAGTCAGGCAACATTCTTCTCTTGAAGTGGATTAGAACATTGTTTGAGACCTTTTTTGAATAATTAATTTATATACTTGTCTCACAAAATGGATAAATAATAATTATTTTTTTCATTAATTGCATTAGTAGCATTCTCCTTTCGTGGCAATCTGGCCTATATATAAATTATTTCTAAGTGGTGGAATGGTTTGATAGAAACTTTTGAATATATTACTTAGGAAGTCCTAATCGAGTCTCTCCTAGGTTGCTAATAGGGATAGCTATTGGAGTTCTTATCTGACCGATAATTTCAGGATCTCGAAGAATTAGTTAAAATGTGTGTAAATTGGTTAGACACCCTGCTAATTAAAAAAAATAAAAATGTGAGCCTATATATGTCTAATGATATTCAAATATAGTTAGTCAATTCAATTAGCACGTTTGATTTGCATGTATCAAATGATTAGACATTAAATGTAATTATCCCATTAAAGAGTTTCTTCCTTTTCATATGAGCCGATTAGAACAAAAATCAATTAATATAATAAATCTACAAAGAAGAAAGGTGTTACAACTTACAAGCTTTTAAATAACTTTATCATTAATCAATTCAAGAGCAGTGTATCAGCTGCAACTTGACATGTGTCCCTTCCCTTAAGCCCACCAAAAAGTCTATGCCGCCAACAATTTTTTTATAGCCTTAATCTTCTTTAGAATAACACCGCAATACTTGGGGTATATTTACATCATTAAACTTCTCCCTCCTTTGGTTTTGTCATGTATAAGGTTGGCTCTCCTCTAATTCTCCAGTTTCCACACAGTTGCTGTAATACTCTAGGTCCATTATTGGATATGGATCATCAATACATAACCAAAACGTCAAGCATGAGGATCTGCCACGTAGTTGCCCTGCCTTATCCTGGCAGAGGCCACATCAATCCCATGATGAATCTCTGCAAGCTGGTTCTTTCAAGACAATCTCGTATTCTCATCACCTTTGTTGTCACTGAAGAGTGGCTTGGCTTCATCGCTACCGAAACCAAGCCGGATAACGTCCGGTTTGCTACGGTGCCCAACGTAATACCCTCTGAGCTAGATCGTGCCAAGGACTTTCCTGGCTTTTTGGAAGCCGTTTTCACAAAGATGGAAGCTCCTTTTGAGAAGCTGATGGATGAGATTGAGGTTGAGACCCCAGTGAGTGCTATTATATCTGATACTTACATGCGTTGTGCTGTTGACGTCGGCAACCGCAGGAACATTCCGGTTGCTACTGTTTTTCCAATGTCTGCATCTGTATTTACAGTTTTCCATCATCATGAGCTCTTGGTGAAAAATGGGCATTTCCCCGTTGAACTTTCAGGTGCGTTTAATTTCCCAGTACAAGATTGATTGATTGATATGATTCGAGTTTGAATGACAATAGCAAAAGCCTAACTCTCTTTCTCTAAATTTTGTCCTGGACGGTTGGATTGGTGGAATAGATTATTAAGCATTTGATTGAGAGTGACGTTCATTTAGATCCACTTGGGGTTTAATCATTAATGCACTTGTGGTTATAGTACCAGAGGATAACGTGTAGTGTCTCAGACTCAGACTCCACTTAGGATAATTAAGACTAAATATTTATTCGAGTAATACTACGTTCTTTTTCACCATTTTTATTATATATCATAATCATAAAAATTTTATTATAATATTAAACTCTAAACCCTAAACTCGTATCAGAGGACGACCTGTTGTGCCTCAGACTCCACTTAGGATAATTAAGACTAAATATTTATTCGAGTAATGCTACATTCTTTTTCATCATTTTTATTATATCATGATGTGACATATATCATAATCATAAAAATTCTATTATAATATTAAAAATTTTAAATAATTAAAAATTTATGTGGTTATGACATATGCCGCATCATGATGTAATGAATATGGTATAAAAGAGTGGTGTAAATGTAGCATTACTCTATTTTTTCCCACCCAAAAAGTTTTAAAATACTATTTTTTCACCCAAATTTTATATTAAGCTAATACCCAAAATATACTCCACTCTCTCAGCTGGCGTTCGACGAGTTATTAGGAGACAAAGTAAGAGGGGTTTTGTATAATAGAGGTTAATGGATCTAATAATGGTGACCGATTGAATATTCGTTATCAAAATTAGCCAAAAATTAGCTAAGAACAAGAAATTCTAGTTTTGTAGTAGTCGACAATAGACGAGAAATCAGGTGTCGGCAATAGACGAGAAATCAGGCGTCGGACTGAAACAAGTTTTGTAGAGAGGAGACCGGAGGTTCAAATAGTGATGACAGAGAGAATTTACGTCGTTAGAATCGGCTTTAGGTAGTAACGGAATATTAACTTTTGGTAGGAAAGTGGCATCTCAAAATTTTTTGGGTGGGAAAGAGTCGTTAAGGTAAACCTTGGGTGGGAAAAAGTCGTTTACTCTAATTAAATAGGTCCATAATTAATCACTTTGCCTAATAGTCTAATACCTTGCGTTTTAAAATTTTAAAGAAAAATAATTAATAAAAATTGCAGTAATTAAGATGGAAATAATTTCTTGAAGTCGATAATGGTGTTACATTAATCAAGCCCCATTTGCTCTTGGGATACTGTCCAACCTGACATTTAATATGCATATCATAAATTTCACAGGATATGGATATTGAATAGTTTATACCAGTAATATATTATATACCAGCCAATATTGGTGCATGAAAAACACAGACAAATTATACATAGCCTAAAGCTAAACAAATTAATTATCAGTAAGATAAAGTTATTTTCAAGAATACAGTAGAAATTAAAATACTGATACACATGTAAATAATTACATTCCTCTGTTTGCATATATATATATAGAACGTGGAGAGGAGCATGTTGACTGCATCCCTGGACAGTGGCAGATCCAGGAATTTCACTCAACGGGGTAAAAAATAAACAAAAAAAATTTAAACCAACCATAACTATATTAATATAACTTTGACATTTTGGGAAAAGAAAAGCTTTTTTGGTTTTTGAACTCTTGCAGTACCAGAACAAAACACACCCTAAAACCTCTATTTCCTCTTTCTCTCTGCCCTTTTTCTCTCATGGTGCAGGTGCTCTAACTCTCAAGTCTCTCTCAGACTCTGACTCTCACCAAACTCTCCTTTCAGGTCTGAATGGCTGAACCAACACTCCAACAGTACTTTTCATCAATTTATCAAAAGGTAATGTCCCTAATCCTAAAGGCTAAATCCCTAATTTTCTCTATTCATTCAATGTTTTACAGTTATAGAAATTTTATTATTATAGTTTCCAATAAAATTGAGTATTATATATTTAGAATTTGTGATTTACTAAACTTGAATCTTGCTCCTGATGGCCAACCAGAGTCTTTGAAATTGAAGGGGCCCTTACCATTTAGCCAATGCAGCAATGCCCAGACGTCCCCACGCACAATGAAAAACAGGACAAAAAAATAAATTATTCATTCATCAAGAATTAGGCCTCATTTACTGCTGATGGTTGGATTTGGAACTTGCATCATGTTATATGTATCATTCCAGTTTGTTTCTTTAATTTAATTATTGTTGAGAAATAAGTTTGGTTTGGTTACTTTGGTAGGTGTATTTTAATTTTAATCCTCTCAATTGGGAAAGGCAAAAAAATAAAAATGAAAGAGTTCCCAAAACTCTCTGCATGGCCTTTATTGAATCAACCCCATGGTCCCCACTTGAATTTGTGAATCTCCTTTTCGCCATGTTTATGAAAAGTGTAACTTTGTTCTCCAGAGATATCAGTACAAGTTATAAATTTCAACTGGAAACTACTCATGACCCCCATGGCCCCACTTATTTATTTATTGATTCAAAGTATAAACGAAATGAAGATTAGATTATTGTAACCAATATATAGCTCTATCTCATTGCTTAGCTGGACCCTCCAGAATTTTCAGTTTCAGCACAGAACCCATTCATCCCTTCTTCTTCATTTAGTTCTCAGTATGGTTCAATTTTTCTGTATTTATTTCAATGTTGCTTTTTAAGAACAGGAGACTTGGTTAATTTTTAGATTTCCATACGAAAAGTTTAGTTTTTATTTTATTTAAAATAAAGCAATACTATTATGTATTAGAAAAATGAGAAAAGATAATGAAAAAATAAAGTGGGGTTAGAATTTTGAGGGGCTTAAAAGTTTCTTTAAAAAAGGGAGAGGGGTGGTCCATGGCCACATTTACATGTCCCAGTAGGGATGATTCAAGAGGAGTCTTCTCTTCAATAAAGGTCAAAGTTACACTATATAACAGTTCTTTGTTGACAATATCAAAAACTTTTTAAACTTTCTAAACATAAACAACGAATTATTTATTGTTTGTAAAGATTAGATTGAGAAATCATTGTTTATGTATTTTTTCTTTCATCCTCATTAAATTACTTGACTAAGTCAAATTTTATAAAAGGAGTTGACTTCTTTTTTCTATAAATATGCATGATTCATGTTAAATGAGTCTAAAAGGAATTCAAACCCACAAAATATCACATTCTTATTGTCTTTCCATTACTATGTATGTAAATCACTATGGGTTACTATGTATGTCTTATTGTCTTTTCATTACTATATATGTAAATCACTATAAGTTATTAATCTTGTACAATTCCTTATTGTTTTATTTGTTTAAAATTTCTTATTAGGTATGCAATATGGATAAATTTCTCAAAAAAAAAAAAAATCAGCAATAGACCAATCATCCTCATCAGTCCAAGAAAGTAAAGCAATGATACAGAAAATGATCCATTAAAAGAAAGTCATGTAGAACTTGAAGCCATCTTGAAAGATCTTCCATCTGATCCAGCTCTACGACCTAAAATCGATCATTATCATCCTAATTTTACTTGCAAAAGAGTTGTTGCCAGCCTCGAAATCATGCATTTTCACTGACAAAATTTGGAAAAGGATATTAGCGATTTAATCCTGCTTGGTTTGATGTGTATGGCAATTGGCTTGAGTATAATGTGACCAAAGATACTACATTCTGTTTGTATTGTTATCTTTTTAGACCTTCCATTATAAGCCAAGCTGGTAGTGACGCTTTCGTTAGTGAGGGATTTTGTAATTGGAAGAAACCAGAACGCTTTCAAATTCATGTTGGCCAGCCAAATAGTGCTCATAACCAAGCACGACAGAGTTGTGTGAATTTAATGAATCAAAAGCAACATATCGAAGTGGCTCTATCTAAGCAATCAGATCAAGTTAGGACTGAATATCGAACTCACTTGATTGCATCCATTGTTTGCATTAGATTTCTTTTTCATCAAGGGTTCGCATTTCGTAGTCATGATGAAACTGAAGACTCAAAGAACCAAGGTAACTTTCTCGGACTTCTTCATTTTCTAGCTCAGCATAATGAACATTTTAAGAGTGTTGTTTTGAAGAATGCACCTAGGAATCTTAAATTGATAGCACCAGTGATTCAGAAAGATATTGTGAATGCTGCAGCAAATGAAACCACAAAAGCCATCATTAGTGATCTTGGAGATGACATATTTTCAGTTTTGATTGATGAGTCTCATGATGTGTCAATTAAAGAACAAATGGCTATTGCCATACGTTATATAGATAAAAAGGGTCATGTACTTGAGCGATTTCTTGGCATTGTACATGTTAGTGACACAACTGCAGTATCACTTAAGATGGCTCTTGAGTCATTATTCTGTCAACATGGATTGATTTTGTCAAGATTACGTAGACAAGTTTATGATGGGGCAAGTAATATGCAAGGAGAATTTAATGGTCTGAAAAGTTTGATTTTGAGGGAGAATGAATATGCTTATTATGTTCATTGTTTTGCTCACCAACTTCAGTTGACACTTGTAGCTGTTGCAAAAAATCACATTTCTATTGCTTCATTTTTTAGCTTGGTTACTAATCTGATAAATGTCGTTGGAGGTTCATGCAAGCATTGAGACATGCTTCGGGAGAGCCAAATTAATAAACTTTTTCAAGCACTAGAAATTGGTGAAGTTAGCAAGGGACGAGATTTGAATCAAGAGACAAGTCTAAAACAAGCTGGTGATACACGTTGGGGCTCGTATTATTATACATTGATCAACTTAATCCTTTTGTTATCCTCTGTGGGAAATGTGCTTGAGGTTATTGAAGAAGATGGTTTAAATCCTGAACAAAGAGGTGAAGCATGTAATCTATTAGATTTAATCTATTCCTTTGATTTTGCATTTAACTTACATATGATGAAAAGTATATTGGCAATTACTAATGAGTTGTCACAAGCATTGTAGAGAAAAGATCAAGACATTGTAAATGTTATGGCTCTAGTCAAAGTTTCCAAACAACGGTTACAATTGTTGAGAGATGAAGGATGAGAATCTTTGTTGAGTGAAGTTTCTTTATTTTGCCAAAAGCATGATATTGCCATTTTGAATATGGATGATATGTTTGCAATTCGAGGGCGGCCACAACGGAGAGTTGAGCACATGACAAATTTGCATCACTATCGAGTTGAATTGTTTTATACTGTGATAGATATGCAACTTCAAGAACTTAACACTCGTTTCGTTGAGGTTAGTACTGAGCTGCTTCTTTGTATGGCATGTTTGGATCCAAGTAATTCATTCTCTGCTTTTGACAAACATAAGTTGATTCGTTTTGCCTAGTTTTATCCATCTAATTTTTCTGCATTTGAGTTGATGATACTTGAGAAACCAGGCTGAGACTTATGTTATTGACATGCATTCTTGTGAGGAATTTGCTAAGTTACAAGGAATTGGTGATTTGGCTAAGAATTTAGTTTGGTTTAAAAAAGACATTTTGTATCCATTGGTGTATAAGCTTGTGAAACTTGCATTGGTTTTACCAGTTGCGACTGCGACCGTTGAAAGGGCTTTTTTTGCAATAAATATTGTGAAAAGTCGGTTACGCAATTGAATGGGAGATCAATGGATGAATGATTGTTTGGTCACCTATATTGAGAAAGATGTATTTGATACAATTGACGATGAGATAATTATCCAACGTTTTCAGAATATGAAAACTCGTCGAGGACAATTGTAAAAAAATTGTGTTTTTTGAATATACGTATTTGTATTTTGTAACTTTTTGTTGAAGTTCATCCTAATGAAAAAAAAAAAAAAAAGTATAGTTATGATTGGTTTAAATTTTTTTTGTTTATTTTTTGCCCCCATCGAGTGAAATTCCTGGATCCAACATTGGGGATTGTAGTGCATTGGTGTGACCAATTGAGGGTTTTATGTCATCCTTCCATCGGGGGATTTTGGACACATTGTGGCTGGAATTCTATTCTTGAAGCTGTTTACGCTGGTGTTCCAATGCTTACATTTCCAATCTTTATGGATCAAGTTCCAAATAGTAAGCGAATTGTGGAGGATTGGAAGATTGGATGGAGAGTGAGGAGAGAGGTTAGGAGTGAAAGCTTGGTGACAAGAGAAGAGATTTCAGAGCTAGTGAAAATGTTTATGGATATGAATAGTATTGAGAGGAAAGACATGAGTAAAAGGGCTAGAGAACTTAAAGAAATTTGTCCAGGAGCAGCTGCTGAAGGTGGATCATCTATAAGTAACATTGATGCTTTTCTTAAGGATATTTCACAGATCCACGACCCAGAATAAGCAATTAAGTTTAATGTACCCTGTCCACTCTCATGATTTGGAGTACCAAGAGTGCCATTTGTTGAAGATATTAGGACCTTGATTGTTTGAATAATTAATGAAACTAAGATTTATATATCGAATAAAGAAATAATTTTTCTGTTTATTGCTCAGCTTTTTGCTTTTGTGGTGAAAATGTTGTTTTTTTTTTTTAGTATATGCCCGAAGAATATTATACATAGTAATAATTAAAAAAGCTACATCGATCACATCAGTTATTGATTATTGTCGAATTCATAACATGCAAAGGTATTTAATTAGTAATTTAATCTCTTAAAGGATGCCTATTGTCACGGGTTGGGAGTTTCACACCCAAAAAGTTAACCTATTAAGTAGAGGGACTCCTCTTATTTATAAGTCAAAGACCTCCCCAATACGCTTCTAATATGAGATTCGTTACATTCTCCCCCACCCAATCCTGTGATGCCCTCGTCACATGTGGGGCTCTCTACCTACCCATCCACCTCACTGTCGGTGGACCCACAATCACACGTGTACGCCCCTGCGTGGGCATTTGATGAGACATCGAAAGACGGATCGAGTCTACTCTAATACCACTTGTCACAGGCTGGGAGTTTCACACCCAAAAGACTAACCTATTAGGTGGAGGAACTCCTCTCATTTATAAGCCCAGGACCTCCCCGATACTCTTCTAATGTGGGATTTGTTACACTATTTACCATTCTCCCTTCTTCAGTTCTCTTATAGACTCTCCAGTTTCCACACAGTTGTTGTAATATTCTAAGAATATATGGATCCATCCGAGACAAAGACATCAAGCATGAAGGTTTGCCATGTAGTTGCCTTGCCTTATCCTAGTAGAGGCCACATCAATCCCCTAATGAACCTTTGCAAGCTGCTGGTTTCAAGATGCCCTGATATTCTTATCACCTTTGTTGTCACTGAAGAGTGGCTTGACTTCATGGGTTTCGAAACCAAGCCAAAAAACATCTAGTTTGCTACTGTGCCTAACGTAATTCCCTCTAAGCTTGTTCGTGCCAATAACTTTTTTGCCTTCCTGGAAGCTGTTTTCACAAAGATGGAAGCGTCATTTGAGAAGGTGTTGGATGAGGTTGAGTCTGCGTCCCCAGTAAGTACTATTATAGCTGATACTTTCATGCCTTGGGTTGTTGGCGTTGGCAAGCACAGAAACATTCATGTGGCTACGCTTTGGACAATGTCTGCATCCGTATTTTCTGTTTTCCATTATCGTGAGCTCTTAGACAAAAAGGGGCATTTCTTAGTTGAATTATCAGGTGCGTATATCAGATTTTCCCTGTTAATTTTCTCTTAATATCATTTAGATCACGATCTAATTTTCATTCAGTTCTATTTCCAAATAGTAAAGATATATGTTAACTTAAGAATTATTATAGTTATATGCTGACACATTTGGGAAGAATAGTATTAATCTATATATTAATATAATGCTGAAGCATACTGCTTCTTCTGACGCCACGTAGGATTGATATATGATCGCCATGTAGGATGTTGTTAATTGGTCCACGTGTTTGTATTTTATTGGGCTTACTATAATAGTCATGGTTTCAATTACCAGTAATAATTTCTCAAAACAATATTTTAAAGATATTCACTAAACATAACTATTTATCACAATCCCTTAATTATTGATATTCTACATATATACGTTTAATCTGAACATGATAATATTCATCAACCCTTCAGTTATCACAACAATTTAGTGGAAACTATGCACTAAATATGTTCAATAAATGTAACTATTTACGAGAAACAGTCTCTTGCTATTCTGCCTTTTCGCATTTTGTTGTTTCTAATATTTTAAAGATATTCACTAAATCTAACTATTTATCACAATCTCTTAACTATTGATATTCTACATATGTACAATTAATCTGAACACGATAATATTCATCAACCCTTCAGTTATCACATCAATTTAGTGGAAACTATGCACTAAATATGTTCAATAAATGTAACTATTTACAAGAAACAGTCTCTTGCTATTATGCCTTTTCGCATTTTGTTGTTCCTATATAAACATAACAAAATACAATTTGAAATATCACACGTCTTTGGATTAATATCTTTGCAGGATAGTTATGACAGTTTCAAATATTTTGTTTAAAGATATTAATCAATTGTGAGATGATTGGATATTGATTGTCAGGGTTTCTAGATTGTGGGAATGTTTTAATTTCAGAAGGGACAACGAGCTAATTAGTCTTGATATGATTCTTATTGATGAAGAGGTATTATGTATTTTTGTTAAATTATATAATTTTACCAACATTGAAATTGTGTAAGTTCCTTAACCTTTTTTTATTTGTAATTATTTTATAGCATGATGTGATGCATGGGACTATACCAAAAAATAGAGTTGTAAAATTTAAGAACCAAATTCATGAAGGCCATGTATATCTAATTAAAAATGTGAAGGTCATACCATGTGCTGTTACTTGCAAGCCTGTTGAAGGTGCTTATCGTTTACAATTTCTCATGAATACTTCCATCGAGGAGATCAAGGAAGTAACAGTTGCTATTCCAGAGTTTAAATTTCAATTTGTTGGCATCAATGATATGCAAAATAGAAAAAATGACACATCTTTGTTATCAGGTAAACCTTTTATTATTATTCATGTTGTACATCTATATTATCTACTGTAATTCTAAATACAATAAATGGTTTACAGATGTTATAGGTATTTTGAATGGAGTAGGTGAGATCGAAAAAATCGTATCAACAAACAATTATAAACGAGATATCATTTTGCAGATTGAACAATAAGTTCTTTTCTAAATATCGTAATAATGTGGTACAATTTGATTATCTTACATCGATGTTATTTTCAGGGAGACATTTAGAGTTTCATTATGGGAAGAAATTTTGAAAAAAATTGATGAGAGCTTGCTAATGGGAGATGAAAAATCAGTTGTCATAATTATCACATCAACAAACGTTAAAGAGTTTCAAGGTATTTTAGGCTTGTGATACTGGATAGAAATTTATAGTTTGATAATTCGTGATTTTAAATGTACAGGTAAGATATATCTTAATAGTACTTCGGGATCAAAAATTTATATCAATCTAGAAATTGACGAGGTCCATCTTTTGCAGAGAAAGTACGTGTTTTAGTAGTCTTTTCTGCAAATATTTTAAGAAATAATTATACAATTTATGTCTCATTTACTATACGATTTGCAGTAATGAAAATATTCCAGTTGTTAAATTGCAAAAGAGAAAGCTAAATGAGATATCGGTTGAGGAGGAGATGTTTCAAAATAGAGTATCTTTGAAATATCTTACCAGCCTTATGTGGTATAACTGGGATTAGATTACAGAATATACAACAAAGGCAAAAATAATTGGAGTCAATGGCAGATTTGGTTGGTGTTACTTATCTTGCAGTGTTTGTAAGAAGAAAATTCTTGATATGAACAATAGCAATTTCTACTGTGTTAAATGCAACAAGGAAATAAAATTTCCACAAATGAGGTGAATCAGTTTTTATTGAAAATTAAATAATTGTTGTAAGACAATGCATTATAACGTTAACATTTGATACTTATTAATGAATATTGTTTGTTATATCATGTATAAAGTTGATATTGCAGTCACAGATGGCACTGTTGAAGCAGCTTTTATAATGTTTGATTTAGTATGCCAGAAATTGGTTGGATTGTCATGTTCCCAGTTATTGAAAACCCAAGAAAACAATCATGAAAGAATTCCAGATGTTGTAAATGCTTTTTGTGGAAAGACTTTTGTTTTCAAAATTAAGTTGTCAGAAACTAATTTGAAACAAGGATATGAGACTTATACTGTATTAAAAAATTTTCCAGTCAATGATGAACTAGAAAATGATTACAAGCTACAACAATTGGAAAAGGTCAGTATATTTTATTTTTTATTTTAAGTAACACATTTTTAAAAATTCAAATGATAGCAATAATTGCTTGACATTAACATGCTATTAATAGTTTATACAAAAATTACAGGCAGTTGAAGAGGAAGATGGAAAGGATTCATCAACAGCAGATCCGATTCAACATCAGGCTTTAACACCAAAAATTACTGACAAAACATCAACTACCAAATCATCTGTCGAAGAACAAGAACAATGCAATCTTCTAATTCAGGTACCTCAAACATAAGTAAAGAAAAGGGTGAAGGAATAGAACACCAAGAGACAGAATACAGTGAACAGGCAAAAAATATTATTGATGAACCTTCAGCTGTTGGTAAGAGATATCAAAGCTCTAAAAGGAAAAAAATTGAGATTTTGAGAAAATTGTTGTTCTTTTCTTCTTTTCTTGTGTTTTTAAATATTATCATGTAATATTTATTACTAACTAACACAAAGTAGATATTCGTATCTATTTTTAGCAACATGTTTTTTGGAAGAATACAAAATTTCAATTGTTAGTGCAACATAAATATTTACAAACAATTTAAAAAATACAAAGCAATTAATAGGTTTTTCCTGTGAACTTTATATAAGTTAATGTTTCAAAGATTATTGACATTAGCAGAGATACTGTCTTCAGCACAATTAAAAGTTGACTACCTCTTTTTTTTCAGATAAATTATGTAACAAATTGTTAATATATCCACATATATATAGGATTCAAAGCAACGAATCCTTTAAGTGATACAATGCATCTCATCGAATTCACGAAATTCAACAATACACCTTATCAATATATTAATGCTTGCATTTATTCATGCATATTAATTATAATGAATATTATCTATATATATCTACCCTTTCACGTTCTGTACCCCTCCACATTCAATTGGACAGAAACAATGAAAGATAACGTATAATCATAAAACATTTATCATGAATGTGAAGAGTTTCTCTTGATCTAATTTAATAATAATAAAACAGTTAACATCTACAAAACATTGAATATATCTGTTAGTAATAATACAAAATAGTATAAACCAATAACATGCAAACACTTGCAGCAATTATAGCGTAAACCAATAACATGCTGACACTTGGTTTTCGGGTTTGATAAACATGTCTGTCACAATATCAGCAGCTTGATCTCTCTGTCTTTCTGTTTTTGCAAGAG